TGTGGGTACGCGATGTATGCACTTTGGCCTCCATTGCATGCCAAGAATTTGGAGCTAGGCCCTACTGTTCACCACAGTATATCCCCACATGTCCCGCAGCTTTGGCCCGCCTTGCACACCAATGCGTTTGCACCTGGCCCTACCACACTATTGTGACTTGTCTGCATGCTCAGTCTGCTTTTAGCCTGGCTGACATGGCTACTTCAGACACAAGGCCTCCAGGTGGTGTTACTGCAACTGCAGGAATGCACTTGCCAAGTGTGTCGAGCTCGTTGGAAAAGTGCCATAAGTTGTTTTCTCGACCTCCTTGTGGTGGGCCCCTCCTTTTCTGCTTTCATTTGATGTGGACCCTCTGTGCTTTATTTCGAGGTTGCTCTTGGTTGTGTGCCAAGAGTGACCCCTTGATAAATCTGCATGTTTGTCCTTAAAAGGTTGAGACTACCACTTAGTTGGTGGCTTTATGCTTCAATGGCACTTATGCTTGACAATTATGTTTCTCATCGCTAATTATAAACTCTACAAAACATCTTCTTTGGTTCTTTCGGTAAAGTCACGTGGAATGAGAATAAAATAATAAAATAAAATAACACAATTGAATTCTCACGACGTTTCGGCCACAACACAAGCAGCCTTCTTCAGGTGAAAGAACAGAACTGCCCGACAGGTGAAAGAACAGAACTGCCCAACAGTTCTGTTCTTTCACCTGAAAAAGGCTGCTTGTGTTGTGGCCGAAACGTCGTGAGAATTTTATTATTTTATTTTATTATTTTATTCTCATTCTACGTGACTTTACCGAAAGAACCAAAGAAGATGAATCCTTGCAGTCACGAAAGCTTTAAATCTACAAAACATGTTGAAGATATCCAGGTGATTTTGTATTAGGGATTGTGCAAGTGTCTTCATAAAAACAGGGTAATTATCAGCCTATTGCCCTCCTTCCTCACTATGATAGCTTCAGGTTTCCACTTTGAGCAGCTTTTGGAGCATGTACAGTACTTGTTCCTTTTAGTTTAGACATTGACATGAACTTACATAAACTGGACCCAACTGGGGCTTCGCTGTTACCCAAAGGGGGGGACCTAACCACTTCAGATGTCCAAGGAAAATTTTATTTTGCTTGTACAGAATTTCATGAGTTTCCCACCCTCCAAAAACAAGGTTTATCATCCAGGCCATTTGGATGGCGATGATCTGGAAAATGCCTCCATCGGGATATCCATGCTGATGACGGTTGCACAGTAACTTCAGAATCTCCTGGAGTGACTGAACAGATAAGCGTTCCAGTCAGGTAATTTCCATCTTTGGAATTTCGGGAGGGTACCGGTGACGTGGTGCAGAAAAGTATATATTTTTTCCACTCATTTCCCAAGGAGGACAGGGAGTTTTTTTTATAACTATGTATGCTTTCAATAAATAAATCATGGTAAATTGTGATTTGGAAAATTACATTAAGTGGATGATCATGTCGTGGGCTGCAAAAACTGCTGCATACATAGCAACGTGTACTTATAACCATGACATGATTTATAAAGTAGTCCCATTGAATTGAAAGTGAATTAAACAGAGCATTGGTTTCTGTTTATTTTTTGTTTCAGTGTTGCTCTTGTAGCATCGCGCGGTCAGTGTCGCAGGCTTTGCAGGTAAAAAGTAGCCTTTCCAAAGCAATGACACTTCCGAAATAATCCACCCCTGTGTCGGGTTTCATAAATGCACCATATATCAAAATCGAGAAAGAAATGTACTTTTTGGTGAAGAACAGGCAGTGTAAGTTGTCAGCTGCCTCCGAATACATTTAGCAATTAAAATTGACGCGTTATTTTTTATGATGCAAACAAAAAATTAGATTCATAATAAAGGTTTTTGGCTTAGATCGCGTTATTTATGTGTTGTAACCCTCCACCACCCGACACGGCCAATCAGCAAAAAAAGTGTCACGTTGACAAAAAACAAATAGTTCACTACTTAGCCCACCGGTGTGTTGAAGAGTGAATCCACAACATTTACAGTTTGAGTACGACGTTTCGCTGGTAAATACATCCAGCATCATCGGGCAATTCGCCAGAATGGTAAAGCCCTCGCTTGCTCCCGGTTTTATATAGAGCAGCAGGGTGACGTCATTATTTAACTCATATCAGGTGCAGTGATTAGAGGCGGAGGGGGGTATTGTAATTATATAATCGATTGGTAATCAGTCAATGGTTATGATTAGTAATGAGTTGTAGATTAGTAATTAGTTGTAATGTGTGTTAGTGATTATATGCTATGTTAGTAATCCGTTAATTAGTATGTTTCCCCTATAAGGAATTGTAATGTGCATTCATATTCTTAGCTCCCTCGGCAAAGCCACGCCGAAGGGAAACAACAAAACAACAAACATATTCTATTATTCTATTGCCTCCCCCCAACGCGACTCCACCGAAAGAGCCAAGAACATGAATTACTGCAGTCACGAAAGCTTTATATAAAAATGTATTGTGTATTATTTAATAATACGCTTCCAGGCCGCACTAAGCCTGTAGCTGTCAGAGCGATTAAAGCTATTCTTATTCCTCTCAATTTCAATGGATTCTCTAATTAGTCTTTGCCAGTAATTAGTTTTACACAACACTGCAACATTGTCAAAATCAATTGAGTGTCCTTGTTGACAAGCATGTTCTGCCACTGCCGACAGTTGTGTTTGAGATAATTTAATATTTCTCTGATGTTCTTTTAGTCTTACGCTGATGTTACGTCCCGTCTGTCCAATATAGAGTTGGCTTAAATGAGACAGAATGGAACCAGGTTGCTTAACAAGGTTTAAAGCTAAGACTTTATAGAAAATATATATTTAATTGTTGATAGAAAAAACTACTTGGTTTTATATACACTATATTCTTGGTTCTTTCGGTAAGTCACGTAGAAGGGAAACAATAAAATAAATAAAAATATTTTTTATTTTATTGTTTCCCTTATTTTATTGTTTCCCTTCTACGTGACTTTACCGAAAGAATCAAGAATATGAATCCCTGCAGTCTCGAAAGCTTTATATCAAAATTTATATACACTTTTTGGGGGCAATTGTTGAAGGCACGTCAGGAAAAAATATTAGGAAATTGAGAACATTGAGCAGGATCGAATTATTTTGTAACAAAAATAATGTAAAGTCGTGAACCAATGTGCTTGCAAAATAAAGTTTTCAATCCTTGCACGTTTCCATTTATGACATGGATTAATAAGCATTAATACTGCCAAGGAAATTAAACAAGCTGGAAAGTGTGCAAAGAAGCATTGGAAGCACAATGATTCACCAAGAGACCAAAACATGAACACGTGGATCAGGGAAGACATGCAAATAAGATGCATCATATTGTCTTTATACATCCAGTGGGCTTGGGTAGGACATGTCACCAGAAGGGACGATTGACAAAACTGATACCAGAATGGCAGCCCTAGACAGCACCGGAGAAGATGCCAATTAATATGCAACGGTGAAATGGATTGTGGCATCACAGAACCGTGAGATACATCCAAAAGTGTTTGGAGGTCTTAATTTTACAAGGGATAGAAGGTGACGAATGTTAATGACTCGCAAAATGTTTAAACAGTAATACACAAGGTCAATCTGATGTGTGAATAGCTTATGATTTGTATAATTTTTAAAACTATTACATCCTTTCTTAAGTGGTCTGCTGTCAACGTCTCTGACCTGTAATTTTAAAAATAAGTTTTGTTTGATTTACTAGAATAAAAGGTCCTACTTAGCATAAAAAAGGAAAAACAATCTCCCGCGGTGATGTTGACCGTACTGCTTTGTTACAAATTTGCCCAAGGGATGCTCAGGTTATATTCAGTTACCAAATGATATCATATAACATGTTTTATAGGACCATGACATGGCATGTAAAGTGAAGATGAAGGTGTTGTTTGTTGGCCTTTTTATTCTTTGCAATGTTTATAGGTCATGTGGATAGCAGGAATACTTGCCCCTTGGGGTAATGAGATACATGGATATGATTTTCTTTTTAAAAAATTAGAATCTGGAGTAGATCTGTTTTACATCTTAAACGTAATGTTGCTTATTTACTGGAAATCAAAATCAGTTTACCTATATCACCGTAGTTTCATCCTGTCTTGTATACATTTGGAAATGTTGCCAATTTAAATACATTTTCAATGGGAAGTTCTTTTCAAAGCCAAGGATGTTTTTGCCTAACACTTACATAATGGTGTAGAAATAAAATTAAATAAAAACTCATCCAGATACAACAGCTTGAATGATGGCATGAGAAATTGCATGTTCCCTTTTGGAGTGCCACCAATATTAACGTAATTAGAATTTTCTTCACGTTGTACCTTTGTTGGCTGTCTTGATACTACTACATTGGCTTCAAGAAGGAAAACAGGCCCAGTGTAAGAGTGAACAACCTTGCCGAACAAATCAATGCAGGACATTTGCTCTGCGACTTGAGTTACATGTAAATAAAGGCAAGCTTTTAGCCTCGCTTGAATGATCACGTATTGTTTATATTTTGTATTGATGACACTCGTGCCGTAGAATGCAAATGATGAATAGTGCATCGTGTTAATGTCTTCACTGGTTAAGTCGCTTTTTAGCTGTTGTGTGGTAAATTGGTTTGTCCATTTACTGAGGTTGCAGCACATGTGCCTGTCCACTTGGTTACATTTGTAACGTGTATTCATTGATTGGCAATATATCACAATTTGACTACAGATTGAATCTAAGTTAATCATTTTGTTAGTAGTTTCTTTAATGTGAACTGCATTATTTTGTATCAAATAAATGTGAGAGCCGTTGCATATTGACAAATAACAAATCCTAATCCCTACCACAGTCTTTTTGTCAAATATTTGCAGGTGTGCCACGATGAACTTAAATTCTATTATTTGTGATGTTATAATGCAGCCAATTGACATTACTGGTTTTGCTGGTTCTGTCGTTTTATGCATGAGAAAATATTACTGGCTCACGTTTGACCCTACACGTGTATTTGTTTTTGCAGTGTTTCATTGGCAAGCCACAATCATGGGACCTGTAAGTATTGATTTCTCCCAGAACTGTCATTCATTGGGTATACGATGAGCACCTGGCTGTTGTCTCTTGCTCAAGTCCATTTGTTTCTCAATGTTGTTTTTAATTAGTTTTTTTTGCTGCTCAACAGAATGACAGCCCGTACCAAGGAGGGGTGTTCTTTTTAACTATTCACTTCCCCACAGACTACCCCTTCAAACCACCAAAGGTAAATGCTGACTTCCTTTCCAATAGACATACACCTGCAAGGTTCTTTGTTTGATTGTTATCTAGGTTGAGCTCCAAACATGCGATTTCACATTTAACCATGTGAATGCGATTTGGAATTAATTAGCGACTAATATTTTATTTTTTGATTTAAAGCTTTCGTGACTGCAGTAATTCATATTCTTAGTTTTTTCGGTAAAGTCACGTTGAAGAGAAACAACAAAATAACAAAATATATATAAAACAATAAAAATTCTCACGACGTTTCGACCATAACTCAAACGGTCATCATCAGGTGTGTCGGTTTGCATAAATTTATTTTGAAAACGGCATATTTATTTATTTATTTATATAAAAATAACGTTTGCGTCACGCGCAACGATTGGCTGTTTGCCAGGACTAGTCCATCTATTTTTTGAAAAGAGGAGGGGGGAGACGAAATTTGTTTTTATGTATGCTGTCTGAAAGCCACTGTGAGCGTGAACAATCAATCAAGAACTGAAATGATTTATCAAATCTTTCCAATGATTGCTAAGATAGAATCCATCTTCTCGGTTGAAATTGTCTCTGTGTTTGTATATGTGGATAGCCTCATGAACGAATCTCTCATGGAAGCCAGATGGCTTACAAAGAACCTCCGTCTTGGAAAAGTCAATGGCATGTGAGCCTACTGAATTAGAACAATGATCTGCTACGGCCGAGGTGTTGGTCCTACCATGTTTAAGGTCTGCTTTATGTTCACGAATGCGGTCCGAGATATGGCGTTTGGTTTCTCCAATGTAACTACTACCACAGAGGCAACTTAGTTTGTAGACACCAGGGTATTGTATGTCCGGAATCACATCTTTTACAGACGGAACCAGATCACGGATTTTATGTAATGTGTTGAAACGGACCTGGATCTTGTGTTTATTCAAGATTTTGGAGATCTTTTTTGTGATCCCAGCAATGTAGGGTAAAGTGATGGTTTTGAAAGGCTCCTCAAGAGGGTTCTTCTTCATGGTTTGAGTGATAGCTTTGCGGATTGTATAGTCGGAGTAACCATTAGCCCTAAGAGCTTGGTGTACGTGCTTGAGTTCACTGCTTATGTGTTCCTGGTCGGATATGCATTGGGCTCTATGATACAGAGTCTTGATGAGAGAATTCTTCTGTGATGGATGGTGGTGGGAATCCGGTTTCAGATAAGCATCCGTATGGGTAGCTTTCCTGTAGACAGAGTGGCTCATTGAACCATCAGGTCTCTTTTTAATTAGGACATCCAAAAAAGGTATCTTGCCATCTATTTCGACTATTTCGACTTCCATGGTAAATCTGATTTACCATGGAAGTCGAAATAGATGGCAAGATACCTTTTTTTGGATGTCCTAATTAAAAAGAGACCTGATGGTTCAATGAGCCACTCTGTCTACAGGAAAACTACCCATACGGATGCTTATCTGAAACCGGATTCCCACCACCATCCATCACAGAAGAATTCTCTCATCAAGACTCTGTATCATAGAGCCCAATGCATATCCGACCAGGAACACATAAGCAGTGAACTCAAGCACGTACACCAAGCTCTTAGGGCTAATGGTTACTCCGACTATACAATCCGCAAAGCTATCACTCAAACCATGAAGAAGAACCCTCTTGAGGAGCCTTTCAAAACCATCACTTTACCCTACATTGCTGGGATCACAAAAAAGATCTCCAAAATCTTGAATAAACACAAGATCCAGGTCCGTTTCAACACATTACATAAAATCCGTGATCTGGTTCCGTCTGTAAAAGATGTGATTCCGGACATACAATACCCTGGTGTCTACAAACTAAGTTGCCTCTGTGGTAGTAGTTACATTGGAGAAACCAAACGCCATATCTCGGACCGCATTCGTGAACATAAAGCAGACCTTAAACATGGTAGGACCAACACCTCGGCCGTAGCAGATCATTGTTCTAATTCAGTAGGCTCACATGCCATTGACTTTTCCAAGACGGAGGTTCTTTGTAAGCCATCTGGCTTCCATGAGAGATTCGTTCATGAGGCTATCCACATATACAAACACAGAGACAATTTCAACCGAGAAGATGGATTCTATCTTAGCAATCATTGGAAAGATTTGATAAATCATTTCAGTTCTTGATTGATTGTTCACGCTCACAGTGGCTTTCAGACAGCATACATAAAAACAAATTTCGTCTCCCCCCTCCTCTTTTCAAAAAATAGATGGACTAGTCCTGGCAAACAGCCAATCGTTGCGCGTGACGCAAACGTTATTTTTATATAAATAAATAAATAAATATGCCGTTTTCAAAATAAATTTATGCAAACCGACACACCTGATGATGACCGTTTGAGTTATGGTCGAAACGTCGTGAGAATTTTTATTGTTTTATATATATTTTGTTATTTTGTTGTTTCTCTTCAACGTGACTTTACCGAAAAAACTAAGAATATAATATTTTATTGTTCAAAAGGTTTGATTTGAAATGTAATATCACCACTAGTCAAAGTGGTAGCAAAACACTTCATAAACAAATTGAAAAATGTGTTGGCACTTGTATTGGTCCATCTTAATTGAAGTTACTCCTGCTAAAGTTACTCTTACATTAAAGCCTTTTGAATAATGAAAACTGTGAAATGTAGCAAAACATTTTTTTAAATAATGTAAATGACAAATAAACTAATAACCAACAAATATGGTTTTTGAGAGGATTGCTACAACACCACAGAAATGATGGATGTATTAAATTTTCTGTTCAGTAACCTGGATACAGACTACTGTTGCTGTGCCCTGTTCCTCGATTTGTCAAAAGCCTTTGATGCTGTTGACCATGATCTTCTACTCGCCAGACTTGGTCTACTAACATTTTCAGACAATGCAATGAACTGGTGCAATGAACTGGTTTAAGTGTTACCTTTCATAGCGTTCTCAAAAGGTGCATAGTGATAACATCTCATCCACAAATATGAAAATTACGAAGGGTGTTCCACAAAGTTCCATGCTGGGTCCAATTCTTTTCTCATTTACATAATCTTGGACAAAATGTAAATCGTGCTAGTATCGGGTTCATCGCCAAAGAAAGTCAAACAAAATCTGATTTCAACTTAATTCAATGTCTGTTATCTGACATCCATGGGGAATGGAGAGTGCCTGTTTTATTCAAATTGTGCCGGTTATTCGAGAGTCACCAGCTTTTCCAAATACATAATACCTTTCAATAAATAAACTAAGCTTACATTTGTCACTGTGCTATAAGAAATATTATACTCTTTTACAGAGGTACTCACCAGTCGGTTGTAGAGCATTCTAAGTTGATTGAGGAGCATTACAGACCTTTTGACGTTTCCCTTTGTTTTATTGCCTTTCACTTTTTCCCTCGTGATACAAGGTCGCGTTCACAACACGCATCTACCACCCAAACATAAACAGCAACGGCAGCATCTGTCTCGACATCCTCAGATCACAGTGGTCGCCCGCCCTTACCATCTCCAAAGGTACCGGTTTTTGTATTCACCTGTGTGTGCGTGGCTCGGTAACAGCTGCACAGATTTCAGATGTGGTCACCCAATGCAGAATGGAATGCATTTGGCTTTCTGTCACCAGGGCAAGTTGGATATTGTAATATGCAGCAGTTTTTTGAACGAGCTCCTTGCATAAGTGATGATATTTTTTACTGCAGAGACTACATTGTACGTGCTATTTTCCCTTCCAGTCTTACACATTTAATTTAAGTAAAAATGGGTATTTGCAGGCTCTATTTGAAATTAAACTGACATGTTTGTTTCCTGGTTTTCACGAGGTTGCCATGGTGGCGAGATGTTAACTACCTCGCCTTGTATGCAGGAGGTCGTGGGTTCAATCCCGCCTGCTGTATATTTGGAGTTTGCATGTTTCTCCCTGTGGTCGCGTAGATTTTTCTGCGGGTCCTCCGGTTTTTCCCTCCACATTTAGAAACATGTGTTTCGAGTATTTGGCTGCTATAAAGCTCCACGTGATTAGCCACTTCATTGAGCTATTATTTGTGTGGCCAGGTGTACGTTAGTGGGCCTTACCTAGTAATATAAAAAAATAGTTAAGTTTAGTTTTAATAGTTTTTGGTTTCTAGTTTAGTTTGGAAATTACGCGGATGTACAATTCAAAGTAAAAGCAATTTTGTAAAAAAAAAATTGTCCAAAAACTGCATTGCATTGATAGTTTTTGATGACCTTGGTTAGTCGTATTTATTAATACACTGCTTTTATACGTAAACATACATTCCTAATTGTACTCGCGAATAGAGACATAAATTAATAATTTTTGATGAGTGGAATTTTTGCCACACCAGTAGATCCAAAGGTGCCGGTTCCATAAATAGCCCAGGTTTTGACATTTTACCCTCTCGAATAGGTCCTAACAACCTTCAATGCAAAAACACAATAATGCTGCCAAAAGTTGCAAAGCATAATGTCAGACATGGGCAGACAGCGTAATTCCTGTATGTGTACATAAAACAAACATGCGATCTTTTTGTGGAAAAAAATCTAACCTAAGATCTTGAAATTAATAGCAGTTGGTTTAAAAAATCTATTTGATTGATAGTCTTTTGGTCTTATGAGCAGGGGACAAGTTCTGGCATGTCTTGTGGGTTTCACGTTACAATAATGAACATAACTGTACTATTAACTGACAGAGCAGCTGTTATTTGTTGTAGCCTTGCCAACAATACAGTGTGTTCACGAAACGTACTGTTAACGTGAAGGGTGTAGTGAATATTGTGTTTGGTGTTTGCAACTAGACCTTTTTAATGTGTAGAAAAGTAGGACACGTTTAAAAAGTCAAGGAGACCGTTGAGGCCAAGTGATCACTATAATTAGCGCCATGGTGTGGTCTATTCTTAACCTATTTCCTTTACTGGATGCTTCTTCATGCACGGCAACTAAACAATGTCATCCTTCTGAGTCCGGGAATGCACATCGACGTATTTCATCTAGATGGAAACTCTTCAGCTGGAATAGCTTTCACTCATTAAATGTTTACATTTTTTAACTGTGAGATGGCTATAGGTTGATTTAACAACATTACTCCTAATAACACTTTTTTACAGTTAACATAGATATATATAAAAAGGCTGGCTGACTATTAAAAATGTCACGCCTGATCTTAAATGCCATATCATATATGTTATGTAATCGGTATTTAATAAATCCTGGCTGCTATAAAAATACTAAGATAAATAAATGTATAATTCACTTATATTTAAAATCGCTATTCCTGTTTGAGATGCAATTACTATGTTGCATTTAAAGTGTCATTGTCAAAAATAATGGTACATTTGTTGTGGCAGTTGATAGTCTATTGACTTTTTCGGTAGCATTGCCTCAAATACTTCATTTTACTAACTTAACCATGTAAGAATATGAAGTTGGAATGAATGAACGGTACATGAACTGTCGATTTTGTTGAGTCCAAATATTCAATTCCACTTGCTTGGTTTTGTACTGCCTCACAGAGCGGCGTTAGTGGTAATAGTTCCTCCTCAACCAATGGTGTTAATCCTCACCCAATAATGCCTTGAACTCTCCTTTATCTGATGGGTTTCATATTTGGTTTTTTTTTCCCCGTCGAATTTAATCTAATTGTGCTCCTGGCGTTATGCCACGAGATAAAATAAAATCTGAAATACATTTCCACAGCAATACAAAACAATCTTTGAAGTGGCCCTTTTTATCCTTCACACAGTCGGAGGTGCTCTTTGTCGCTCGCAAATTTTGTATGGATTTAGAACCAAGCATTTTTTTTGCGTAATTCTACAACCTGGAATTGGCAACACTACATTATCTAGAACATTTTTGGTACAATTTAGAATGTACTTTAATCACAGGCATTTACTCAGATTTAGACCCAGGTTCATTCAATACAGTGGGCTGTATCATCTTGCCAAGACCAGGCACCCAAATTAATAATTATACCAATTTTTCATTTCAGAGTCCAGTAGTACATCGGTCACCAAATATTATTCTCTTTTTTAATGTAGTTTCTCACGTTATAGCTTTTGAATTTCACGTCGCTGTATAAACACGTGTAGTAGAATTACACAAATAAAGAAAACAAACATTTAACGTGATTAAAGTCTTTAAAAATTTCTATAGAAATGCAATGGGTACAATGAATACAATTAAACATTTGAATGCGTTATTAAAAAAATTAAAGTATTTCTATATTTAATATTATTAGCCAAAGTAAAGTAATGGAAGCCGATTACAATTACCATGCACCTTGTCCTAAAAAAAAATGGTAATGTATGCAGTATAATGCTAATGGGATTAACAAATCTTGCTATAATTGTAGGCTGAGCTACCCTTGGAGCTACTGTATGCAAAAAATAATTTCCATGTGGACCCTTTATGAAGTGGTTTGATTATTGGATCCTAGCAGTCACGAAAGCTTTAAATCTAGAATTGATAACCCAAAGAGTATGGTTTGATTATATCTGAGAAAGACCACTAATAGAGCAGATTCATGGATGGTGTGTGTGGTTCTTTCCCATTTTGGCCCACAGTTGCATTACTTGAGGCATATATTTCGATACTTGCACTGAACTTTAATTAAAAAAAAATGTTGACTGCTGCGAAAACTACGAGAGGGTCTGAGAATGGATTTTAATTACAATAATTTTGTGTTATACCGTTGATGATTCTATTACCACTGTGGTTTGCGAGTAAGTTTGCGACCCCTGGCGATGTTGCTAATTCATGGTCTGTATGAATGCTTCCTCATCGTGTTGTCGTGCAGTGCTGCTGTCTATTTGCTCGCTGCTGTGTGATCCAAACCCAGACGATCCGCTTGTGCCAGAGATTGCACGCATCTACAAGACAGATCGAGAGAAGTAAGTTCCTTTAAACCCTTCTACTCATCTCAACACGGTGGGGTGGGTGGGAGGGGGGGCGGAACTGAAAACTCTCGCATGTCAACTGCTATACCCACAGTATTAGGGTGTAAAAATAGCCATATATTATTTTGTGTTGCATGTGTTTCTCGAAGATGTTTTGTCGGAACTCACAAAGTTAATTTCAATGACCAACAACTTAATCGCGTATGCGCACGGGTCAGCAACCTGCGTGCGGCTCTTGAAGGACTGCTTTGTAACGTCATTTATTAAGGACCACCGTCTTGTATTCACATGCATTGCGGCTCTTAAAAATATTGAGGTTTTATCAAATTGGGAAAAAAATGGCCCCCTTCTTAATTTCGTTGCTGCCCCCTGCTTAGGTGAAATCGTGCTGTCATATTCTTTCCTTTAGAAAAGAAACGACTGAGCGATCCTATCACTTTCACATTTGGTGCAAACAAGTTAAAAATGTCCCTTGTTGCAAATGCAGGAGTAGCTCAGAGCTCTTATGGTAGAGTACTGCAGTTAGTATGTTGGGATTTAATTCAGGTTTTGACTTTGAATAATGTTTTAGTCTGCACCATGTAGCCCTCAACCCAGTTGACAAAGGTTTCACAAGAATCTCACGTACTTAATTTTATATGTAGTTACGAGGCAATAGGTATGACAATAAGAAAATATATTTCCAATGGAGTTATATAGTGTCTGTTGGGCACGTTAGGCATGTACTAAATAATTATTTCAAGGCAGCCCAGTTTTGATTTTAGAGGTCATAATCGGGTAGAACTCCTCCATTGTTGGTGGGGAAATTGCTATTGGGGAATGTACATTTTAATAAGTCACGTGTTAAGGTGAAGTGGATATAACATAACTGTGAGGATGACATTTGAATAACCTTTGTGATATTTGATCTTCAAAATGTTACTACTCCCAGTGTGTCTGGAAAGTAAAATGGTGTCGTCTTAATGTACGATCAATGTGTGAAGTGTTTCTGGTGAATCCAGTTTCCAGGATGCTGCTTGCTGTTGTTTCCAAACAGTGCATGAGTCAGACAAGTGGGCATTGCACTTCGTTACGCCTCAAATACATGGTAGTCCCTTGGCAAGCAATCGCGCGGCACTGCTGCCAAGGTGTTGGCAAATGGTATCGCTCTAAACCTTCTCATCAATTATTACTCTGAAAAACCTACTTGCATCGGTTTAACCAGGTGGGAACTCAAGAGACTAGGATCAGTCTCATTGGTAAGCGTTACCTGAGCCGTCAAATTTACAAAAGCAATTGAATAAACTACTACTGTGAAATTAATCAATCGGAGCCGCAAACTTAACTTGGTATTATTTAAAAGTATTTTCCTGCAACTGAAATTGATTTGGACATGTAAGTTTTAAAACTATTCATCATGTAATACAAATCTAAGATTAACTATATACTCACCTTAAAATACCCACTTTCTCAATGATTTACACTTTTTTATTAATATCTTAAACTGTGACATGTTGTTGAACCTTTAAACATTTTAGGCAGGTAAATGAATCGATCCCTCTGTCAGAATTTGTTTTCCTCTACCCAGATAAATAATTTAATAAAACAATTGATTAAGAATGATTTATGATGAGGTCAAACATTACACAGCCCGATTTGCATATATAGAGGTCGCCTTGCACTTGTAGCCATTGTTTAGATATTTCAGCTATATAGACACAAGCACTGTGGTTGTATCTGAATACAGGTTGCTCTATTTAAGTTATTTTATCTTGAAACATTGTGTATGTATTTCCAGTAGCTTATCGATAGTGGCTTAATTGGAACAGTTTTCAGTATTTTCAAATTAATATGAATCAATTCTTCATGCCGCAACTCAAGAATTAGTGGGGTCAGCATTGGCAAATTGATTTTTCATAAGCATTACGAAGGCAAACGCATTAGCAATGCAAACAGTGGGGTGAATTGCTCTGCTAATACTGTAAAACTAATTTGCTTCTCATAAAACTATGTTAGAACATTCCAGTTAATGTGTTTTGATGGAGGTATGCTATGCATCCATTCACGTCCTCACTTTTTTACATGGTAGGTGTTTTTAATAGCAAACACCTTTGATTGGGAATCTAACAGTGGAGTCTAAATTGTGCACAACTGGCAAACCCTATTTTAATGAAGGACACTTGCACAAGATGGACTCGGTCAAGTGTTGTTGGGTGTAATCACTACTGTCTCTTGAAGGCAAGGAATAGGCTTAGAACAACCAAAAACGCTGCTCGTAGCCTAGAGATTAAAAAAAACATATTTGAATCAGCTGTTGTACTTGGCATTCCATTGGGTGGCACATGACTTTTAATACAAAGATTTTTTTATAAAGTAGACGACATTGTAATGTAAATTTGCTAAACCATGCGTACTGAAAGGCCAGGCTTAATTACTGGTAGTCCCACAGCAATAGATCTATTTACAGTTTTCTATTTAGAAAAAAAATACCATTTTCCCAAGCAAATGATGAGTTTGCTAATGGGAGCAGATGAAAGTTATTTACCATCCATGTTTTTTTTTAAATAAAGCCAATTGGGTTCTGTACCAAAACAACTGCGAAATAAAACGTACTCGTTTGCAACGATAAGCGTACTTCTTAATGATAATTACACGTGACACAACCCCCATCAGTGAATTTCAGAACTTTCAGCCATTCATGTTGATCATTAGAAATGTGTGTGTTATACCACGACATGCTTTTTGTCTGCCTGGCCATCTTTACACTGGGGTTTGTGGATGTTCCATTGTGCCGGCCCTGCAGGTATAATAGGATGGCGCGGGAGTGGACAGAAAAGTATGCTATGTTGTAGTGGTGTTGAGGATTGGCTGACCTGGTGCACCGTGTGAGTGACTTGTGAGGGATGGTTGCATGCTTGCAATGGAGTGGCTTAGCGTTTGCATCTGTGAGCGTTGTAACTTAAAATTGACACATGGGTGTGGTGTTACAAGGGTCCTCTTGAACAGAATTGGTATGCACACCTTGACTCCTAATTAAGCAACTTACTATTAACAGTGGTGTCAGCATTGAAATGTTACTCTTGGAATATGTGGAGGCAAAATTAAATAACAGTGCATTTCATATTGGCATGCGGAGAAATGTGCCATTTTCATGCAGATTTCTTAGGCTAAGAAAAATATTGCAAATCTAAAATGCACTCTCTCAAGTAGTTGAGGTGTTTTACACAATTTTGTCAAGCTGACATGTTAACAATGATCGTCTTCACTTTGATACATTAATTTGTTTCAGTAACTCTCAGTGTGTGTTAATAAGGTTATTGTAAGTTGAATGTAACATTACATATGCAGTCTGCCAGGTGATGGCAATCTGTCTCAGTGGCTCACTTTTTTTCTGCTTTGATGGCCTAAAGTTTGTCAGTCACATTTGCTCCAAAATGGCTCCTGAGATTTGGGGCCATTTCTCATAGTTCTGCAAATAGCTGGTTCGAGATGGGCTGGTGACTATCAATGCTGTACTCGCCAAACATTGCCTGTTTGTATGCTCCATTTGAAATGAGATTTAGAGATTGAGTGGGGGGGGGGGTCACAGCAAATGTAGTCACTCAACATTATCTGCTTCTAACTAGTGAGAGACGGATCCCACCCATGCGGATGTTCACATTATTGTCTTGGAAGTTGTATTATCCTTCAGGGTAAGGAATATCTTCTATACGATCACAGTTTAGTTGGTCTGAAACGTACAGGTGTGGCTCAATGCTTTGTAGTTTTTTTTTTCTCACCGGTCACATTTGGACTTCAAAATGGTAATAGTGACTCATAAAAACCTCCTTAGTTCTCAGCGCTGAAAGCTTCTGTATAATGGCCGCTTTCCTTTCACTTCAGACCTGCCACACTTAAATTATGACCCTAATAAAATAAACCACTTGGTCACTCCCCTTGTTTTATTGTGTCATTAAATACACATGCTAACTCGAGGACACTAACTGCACATTCAGAATACACTGCGTGTGCTTAGCAGATAAACTGGACGCATGCTCAGAATATTCGAAAACTTCACACAATTCGACACTAATCTCCCTATAACCTACTTTAGTTTTCTCGATGTTTGCATGTGCTTCTTCACGTAGCCTTCATGAAGTCTTTATGCTTTGTATGGCATACTTTTAAACACAGTTCATTTTCTAATCTTAAGTGAGATGCATTCGAATTCTATTGGTTAATAACATGTGCTGCTACAGAAATCCTGAAACAAATATCGGAGTTGACGGGTACTTTTGGAACTAACACATTTATTTAAGGAACGTAATAACCGCGTGACACGCTGAGGTTTCGTTTCAATCAATTGTGTTGACAATCTTTAATGTTGCATACTGTGCATGTTAATGCAGTGCATATTGATCTAACAGGTTGGAACATACATGGTGGTCACAAAAATAACAATAAAAACAGACTGAAAGTTAATGTATTGTCAGATGCGGATATATAGTACCACAACTTGTTATGGCCTTATGGAGAGTACGTTTATAGCCAGCATGGATAAGTCTATTCAACATACTTTTATGTTAAGAGTTGCAAAGTTTTATACCGTTTGAATTCAAAGTGTTAATTTCATATATTGCATTCTGATAAAAAGCGAAATATCTTGTTTCTACACACATTCTTCAATGCAATAGTGCCTTTGTCAGCATCAATAACGTATTATGCATTCGTGATGTTATTTGCTCATGCTGAAGCGCATTTGGATTTCCACTAAACGTAGCATATACTTATTCTTTACCTAACTTGTAAAAACAGTTGTCTACAGCATGTCTTTAAAAACAAATGCTCTTTCGCCTAAACAGTTTATGCATGTTTGGATGTGCCTGGTGTTTGTATTTGTCTCGGTAACACAGTGGACATTGCTGTGATGGCTCAGCTAATGCTTTGTTTTCATGACACGTTTAAATCATGTCCAACTCTTGGCTGTTCTTGGGGTTTATCCGTGCCTCTCTATTGCCGAGTTAAAATCGGAAGCGAATTCTGCAATAAACATTCTGCAAGCATGACGGAGGAGTATCCTTTCAATTGCATGCCGTGGCCCTGGCACCTGACTTGACACTAAAAATAATCGAGACTTTACAATCTCTAGCAATACAATGGCCGAGGTATACCAAGCTATGCGATCTTACATTTACTTGCAAATTCTATCTCTAGCCCTGCCCACTTACCCTTGGGTTGTCCCCATCTCAAAACTATATAACCTTTGGCTGCAGTAGCTCTCTCGCTATATTTCTTCCTGCCTCAGCAGTCCGCCTGCTGTACTTCTATCACCTGAAGACGATTGCTCGTGCTGCGATCGAAACGTGATTTTTTGTATTATTATTTTTCTATCTACGTGACTTTACCGAGAGACCCAAAGAGTGAATTTCTGCAGTCACGAAAGCTTTAAGTCAACATATGATACATCTTTTTAAAAATGTGTGACAGGACAATGCTGGCACTTGTTTTCATAATGCAATTGTGTGCGTGTGCGTTTCTCATTGCAGATACAACAGAATAGCCAGAGAATGGACTCAGAAGTATGCGATGTGATCAGCACGGATAGATGTGTACGGTACCCTGCCCATACCTAGAGAAGGAAGAAAAAAACCGAGAACCATCTTGAGTCTGCATCCAAAAAGAGCGAAAATGCTTTCAGTGGCCCAGCTGTTTAGAAGACTGCTCCCCCCCCCCTTCTCCAATTTATAATTTGATGACAAAGGAAATGCGTAATTTTCTAACTTAATACCGGAGTGCTGCACACTACCAAGTCTTTGGCGTGCAAAACCAGTTAAACTATTCTTGTCCACTGTACATATAGACCACTTCTTCATTCTATCCAATGTTATGAGTGAATGCATAGTCAACTGTGTTTTGGCCTCCTGTCTGCAGCTTTTGCTTCCAATTATAGGAATACAAACTTAAAGGCTATTATTTCAAGGAGGTTTTCACGGTTAAAGGATGTTCATAATGATCGCCTGCCTCGTTGTGCAAAAACAAACTTTCCACAGTTGCAGCTTTTGCAATCGGGAGTATAACGGCTCTGTATAGTGCAAAATCATCGCTAAATGCTCTGCTGCTTCTGACATGGGGCGGGAGAATGGGTGATCTTAATGATTCAAACAAAAGCACTGTTGGCTCGCACATCTTGGCAGTACTATTAAAAGTATCAAAATATTGACTTAAGTGTAGGTTTTTGAATTAAATATGTTACGTGCTTCGCTAATATCTTGAGTTATGTTCAATTAACTGGATAACACTTAACCAATTAGGTGGTTGGAAACATATAGCATTTCCCTTATAACTAAACATTACCCATCCCAACTGCCCGCCGTCTATACTGAAATAATACGGCACACTTTTATGTAAAGTGAAAATGCATGGTGTTGTATAAAAGGGACATTTTACTGTATATTAAAGTGTTGGCACTCTGGAAACGATGTAATTGTATCCTGCTCACGCATGTTTTTCAAAAATGATATTTGGCATAAGTAACTTTGTAGGCCATGTCTTTCAGTGAAGACGTGATATTAGGGAATCATTTAACTAATGTATTGAGTTAAACGGGCAAAGGATTTTATGTTTCTGAGATGGGTAAAGGGTTTTTTCCATGAATACTAAAATTCCACCGCATATAAATTAATAATTCCCATAGCTTTATTTTTTCTCCAGTTTTTATAGGAAAAAAAGTCATTGTATAGACATTGCTTTAGGCTTATGTTTTGCATGGTCATTGCAGTAAGTAAGCAAGCAATGGGATTATAGTTACTATTGCTTGTTTCGGAATTCTGGTGGAACTTAACCCAAAGACTAAAGTGTTCAGTACTGCACTAATGAATGCAAGACGCTTGAGTGCCCTGACCTGTTAAGGCACATAACCCTTGTAGAACGTGTGGCTTACGGGAAGACATTGGTGCAGGTGCTTGCTCTCTCGCCTGCATTAGGTGAAATGCAGAGGCTGCCACAATTGGACACGCAGTACTGTTGACTTTTGTCCAGTAAAACGAAGCAGCCAGTTAAAAACGGCACAGCAATTGCATTGACTGCAAACTTTAAATGAGCTTGGAGCTGTGGATCGTCGTGACACCATTTTTTTTTGTTGTTGTAACATCCAACTGTTAATCCTTTGTGCTTGTCGGAAAAAGAATCATGCACATTGTTGCTCATAACTTGGAAACGAAAAGTAGGAATGGTTTGTGTTGCGTAATGTACTTATGTCCGAGCTCTCGGCATTGTTTCATTGTTTAGATTTTGCAGTGTTCACTTGTATAAAAAAAAATTGTGTAGTTAACCCTTGAATGGTGCCCCCCCTGCCCTCACCCCCTTTCTCCCAACCCACGTAAACGAAACGCTTGAGAAGCATGCACGATACATAGTTAAAACAATGGCATTTCCTTTTAAGAGTAAACAAAAACTAGAAAGTGTCACAACAACATACCCTGTAATTGAAGGGGTAATTTTTGTTGCAAAAAAATACGGCTCCCCTTGCCACAGTGTCACTTATTTTACGAGTACAAACGAAGTCTGCTGCTGTTTTGTAAATTTAAAGATGCTTTGCCCAGCCAGGCACTTTATTCTGTTAACTCGCAGCACTCTTTTAACAAATACTAGCTTTATGTAATGCAATTCATTTTAATTGATCGCGACTTTTCGGTGGTTTCCTTGCTATGGGAAATGTGCAGTGCTCTTGTGAAGCTGGAAAATTGTTCGCAAAAAGAAAACGACAACAACTTGTATTCATATGAAGACACTGTCATTGTATCTACTCTAGTGTAAACATCTTGCTTTTAAATGAATAAAATCTGTGTGCTTTGTTAAATTATTTAGGAATAATTTGTATATCCTTTTCGTCATCTTTTTTTTAATGAATTGATCGCAGATGGGCTTTTAAGATCGATAAAATGGCCAGCCCAAAAAAAATCACGAGTGCATTTTGAGGCATTGCTTTTGGCTCTTTGGTAATGGTCAGATAGCCCCCCCCCCCCGTTTATTTGAAATGTTTAGGGTAACCCCTTTTGTCCATAAATACGCCGTAAATACCTTGTTTGCAAAGCGCACGTGTAAGGCTTGCTCTGTTATAGCATCTGGCCTGTAAATTGGGAAAGCATCTTTGAAGTGATGGTTGTGCCATTTTAAGACAGCTGGAAATTAATTGTGAAAACATTACATCAATAAACTTTTCTTTCTTTTCTTAATAATCTATTAATAGATTATTGTATTTCACTTCCTTCTCACCTGTTTGATACTGTATTTGTACTTGAGGGTTCTTTCATGTAATTTATTACAGCGTTAGTTTCAAAAGCAGCCGTATTCGCTGCAACTCTCGTCCACCTTCATTGGTACAAATAGACTGTTATTGTAGTAAGCCTGATTAAAATGACATCACTAAATCATTTGAATTTGATGTTATTACTTCAACCTTGATTCCAAACCAGGTTGTGGTTGTCTGGCGTATTTTCCTACTCGAGGAATGACAGTGCCTACATTTGTATCGGGATGATACATCTGCATTGTGAAGTCCTAGCCAAAAAAGATCATAGACTTGATATGTTACTACAGCAACAACAATGCAAAATGGGTGCACACGTATTTATTAAACACGTTTGCAGAGACCACATTTGTGTACATAAAGCATCACACTTCATTGCAATCACTCGAGTAACATACTAATGTGAAAATGCAGTAAACTCACTCGTTATAACCATTGATAACTTCCATTCTACTTGAGGCATAAATGTGCTGTGTCTTTTAGTATGAATTATGTGTAAAATGCGCATAAATGGTCTTGCGTGTTCTACAGTATTATGGAATACTAATGTAATGGGAGCTTCGAGATGAGACCTGTTGCGTCTTTTGCAGCTGCGATTACCGGCATATAACCACTTGAATAAGTGCACTGTCACGTAAGCAAAACGTAAAAGCAGAAGCTAAACTAAAAAGCCAGTGCTGTAATATATGGAATATCATGCGTTGAGCACATCTGGAATGCCTTCCCCCCTTCTGTAGATTTCAGTCTCCTGCACTGCAGATGCACGCCAGCGCGGTGCGGAAGTCTCCGCTCGTGTCCCCCTGGTCGAAACGAAGTGTGAATAAAACACGTGTCAGGTTATACACCCTTAGTCTTGCCGAGCATGTGCACAATACTTGTCAGACCAACACTGTATGTACTTAGAGTTACATGACATGTAACTAGGCAGAAACAAACTCAAGTCAAATGTACATGTGTAATGCTTATGTTGAGACGTTAAAAGATTTACAAAGTCAAAACTACATTCACATTGAAAAGCATTTGTGAATGGTGTTGCATAAATACGTCTTATTAAACAAATCCTTGGATATCTAACGCAATGACTTAATAAAGCTGGCTAGATATTTAGATGCAATGTCCCTCTAGGTTTGTCTTTTGTTGGATAATGTTACTGATAGAGCACACACGGACTAAATCCAAGTATCTCCTGCATTATGCGCATCTGCATTATGCGCATCTCGGGACAAGGGGTGGACATTCCACATTCCCATGGCGGGGTGTGTGGGGGGGGTATGTGTCCACTGGTGACTTCATTGACCCCAGAGAGATGATGGACAAAAGTTGATGCCCGAATGTGCTTGTAAGGCACTTCCCCATGCTATAGCAAATAAAAATACAATGCTAGAGTATACATGCACGGAGGGAAACAATAGTTCCATAAATGTTTCAAAGGTTGAATATAACATTTGACAGAACAATGCAAAATTAAGTCCGGTAAAATTTTGAAGATCCGTAGTAATTAAAAACTTAATTGTACGTATCAAAAAAAAAGCGTGCTTATTTCAATGTACTTTTGAAAGATTTTAAGAGGCGTAACGCAACTTGGCTGTGTCACATGCTCAGTTTGCATTTTCCCCGCATCTAACATCCAATGGAAGTCCCTAAAAAACTGGCCATGTTCACTGACCGAACATGTAATCTATAATTTGTATACAAAAACCCCATTCAATTGAAGCTGCATTGCTACTTGGCTTGCATTGCTATTTACTTGCATTTCTACTTAGCATTTCCCATTTTCCCTACATTTTACACAACGTGAGGGGGGTCACTGCTCTCATCGGCAAATTCGCTTATTCGCAAAACCGTCGGTCCGCGTGAATACGAGGGGATATAAATTGCAGGCGTCTATTCAATGAAAACGTTTTCATTTGCCGATCAAATCAGTTTTAGTTTCACGTAATAACGTATTCCCTATTTGTTTCGTTTGGTTCATGTTTACTTCAATATAGGACGATTCAGAGTCCTGCTAACGTCATTATTAACGGAGCACCACGGTGGCGAGATGTCATCTTCCTCGCCTGGTGTGCAGGAGGTCGTGGGCTCGATCATAACCCCGACGCCTGCTGCTGTGTATTTGGAGTTTGCATGTTCTCCCCGTGGTCGCGTGGATTTTCCTTCGTCTCCTCCGGGTTTTCCATCCACATTTATAAACATGCATCGAGATTAATTTGGTGCTATAAATGTCCAAATGATGGTGCCACTTTGTTGATCCATCATTTGTGGCCAGGCTGCTTCTGAAATATAAGTTAATACCTCCTCAGTGGGCTTTGCCTGGTGGGATGGGGGGTGGCTTAGTTGTATTTGGGCAATTTGTTTACCTTTCAATCTAGATTTGAAGCTTTCGTGACTGCAATAATTCATACTCTTTGGTTCTTTCGGTAAAGTCACGTAGGTAGAAAAAAATCGATCACGTTTCGATCGCCACACAATCGTCCTGAGGACTTTACAGAAAGAAGCAAATAGTTTATCTTTCTTGTACTTTGCACGACTATCATGTTTTTGTACTGTTGTAACGCTCTTACCCGCCCCAACCGGACATTTTTAAAAACAAAAGAGCTTTATAGATCATTGGATTCCTCCAGTATAAATATTCCGATTACCTCGATGACGGCTTGTAGCTCCTCGCCGTACGTCTGCTTGTAATGCTGCTTGATGTTCTGGAGATCGATCTCGGAGCGCGAAACCAGCACGCGGATCAGAGTGTTCTCATCCGTGCCCAGGCCCTGCTGGAAGAAAATTGAGGCTCCGAATTATATTCGATCCCGAAGACGACCTCGCATTTCTCGTTCCAGCCGCTGTCGGTCATCACCGCGACTCACCTTCATCGACTTGTGCAGTTTGTAGGCGAAGAATTCTTGCACGTTCTTGATGCACTTCACTGCGACAAATAGAAAGAAACGTTGGTCGTGTTTATGTTGTGCACATGCCCCTTTTTGTCAATTGACTGCTGGATGAAGGTCCTCTGCAAGCTGTCTCAGTTGTGGGGGGTGGCCCTGTGTGACCATACTTCACCTTGCGGGTTGGTGAAGTGGGAGACGGTTCACGCACCGTGCTACAAAGCCAGCCACCCGAGATTGAGCCCCCTTAAATGGCTAATATCAGTGGCGAGTGATATCAGAAACGGCCCTTTGGTTCCCGCCACTCTTCAACCCGCGCTGACCTGCGTGGTGAAGTATGGCCAACCCCCGTGAACAAATTGGCATGGGTTGGCCCTCATCCGGCAGTGGATTGATAAAAGGACTACATATTGACTTAAACTTTCGTGACTGCAGGAATTCATATTCTTTGGTTCTTTCGGTAAAGTCACGTAGATAGAAAAAAATAATCAAATTAAAAAAACCACGACGTTTCGATCGCAACACAAGCGGTCCTGATGACGACCGCTTGTGTTGCGATCGAAACGTCGTGGTTTATTTTATTATTTTTTATTCTATCTACGTGACTTTACCGAAATAACCAAAGAAAAGGACTACATTTATACAATTGGGGTTTTGTTTCCTTATCTAAAGCTTTCACATTAAGTTGTTATGAAGCCAGGGGAAATGTTGCCCTGGGTGGTTGAATGCATGAGCAGTGTTGGTGCTTGATAGCAATTGTATTACACCCGCACGCAAGCAGTGGATGAAGCCTGCCGACAAGTTCACCACGCACACCCCGAGGGGCCAAGCCCTTCAGGGGTGTCTACCTCTCAAGGACAGCCCATTGACTTTTTTTTTCCTAAACGAGCAGACGGTACGGTCACAAATTGCATGTGCACTTACAGCAAGCACACCCAACGCGGGGGGGGGGACACACAGCACATTGTTGAGGTCGCTCAGAATGTTCGGACTGGAGCTGCCAGCTTGTAACTCTCTCTAAGGCCCACGTGGTGGTGTGTCGTGCCGGAGGAAGCCATCACACAATGCCACTTTGGTGTCTCTGTGGTGCTATATCATAAACTTGCCACCAGCGGTGGCGATAGGCATAAAGCAAAGTAAGCACAAGCTTAAGGCCCCCAAGTAGCTCATGTGGCCCCTGATTCGTGAAACTACATATAGCGTTGGTACACTAAATATCTCAAATTTATAATAAACAAGAGGTCATTGACATAGCACGATGCATCTCCCATGTTTAGTCGACTTCTCTCGTCTACACAGCAGCGCGAGTGTTGTCACTATTTCTCTGATCTCACAACATCTCTGTCACCAGCTTACTTTCACAAAGGACACCCCCCCACACCTCCGTGCCCAGCACAGTGGACGCACACTGAACGCTACAAAAGTGACTACTCCCTCTGTGATTATCCTGGGTTACTATGATTTCAGTGGAAGCACGCTGACCACATGCTGATTAAAAGTAAAACTTTTTTTAATGTCAACAGACATTTAATATACATATCCATTATCTTCAGCACCCGCGATCCATCCATTGCAGGATGAAAACCTTCCCAAGCCGTCCAACAACCGTCACCACGGCGCTTGTGCCAGGCTAAGTGCACTTTAAGGCCACGTGAAGTGTCGAACTCCCGCTGACAGGTCACGGGACACACCCAGGTGCCATGGGTTGATTGACTGAGATGACTGGCTGATGCACCACCTGTGGCCCCTACTGCGTCAACTTGCTCTGTTTTAGGCGCCCAGCGCTCCTCTCGTTGTTGTGAGCCGTCACCACCCCCCTTCACTGGCACGCGATGCAACAATCCACCAAACTCCTGCACAGGAGCCGATTTCATCGCTTCATCTCCTCCGTGGACGTCCCCACGGATGCATTCCCTGCTTTGGACCATCAGCCATCATCCCTTCTCATGATAAGCCCTGTCCAATCTCAACTGCCTTTCTTAAAAAAAATCTATTGTTTATAATTTACATCATCGCCTGATTCGTGTGTTTTTCTTCATGGCAGCGTCATTCATGCATCGGTCTTTCCATGCTTGTGGTTTCATCAGCAGTTCCCTTTTCCTCGTCAATGCCCATGTATTACGATCCTTATTTCTGGGGGTAAAGGCGCAGCCGTGAAATTACGTCTCACGCCACACTGCTGGTGGAAGGGCCTCCACAATCCGAAGCTCTGGGGCAGTGTTTCTTCACCCGGGGTGCACGCACCCCCTGGTGGTGCGAGACTTGGGCAGATTTTTTTTAGAAGGTAAATCATCGAAACACAAATTAAGCACGGCCAGGCAAGTACAACTACAGCACTTTGTTTCATGAAACCTATGTATTAAAAACAATTTTTACGATTGAATACCAAAGGGATTCAAGGCTGCAGCAAATGTTTAAGAAGCACTGCTCGAAAGGGGCCACCGTTTCGAGCAGCAGTCGTTTGGAGTTCCAGATGTGATTTGCGGATAGCCAAACATCGTGGGATAGCAAGTCCTTGAATAACGAGGGAATGCCGTCCACCACGTGCGCATTTCCATGGGATATTTATCCTGTCTCTTGCGCAGCATTCATGTTACAGTTTATTCGTATCACGAGGTGAGAATCCTAGAGACCGGGATAGTTTCATCTTCAAAAGTGACCTTGCCTCACCGGAACGACAAAAAATAAGCTGTCAGATGCATGAAGTGCGACAATGAATCAAGTAGAAAATGGGCGGAAAAACAACTCTTGTATTTGGGATAATATTTTGTTTGTAGGGTGTTGTGGGATTCCGTGGTTGTGGTATCACCACAGACGCGGTACAGAAGACGGATTCCCACCTGTTATTGGTTTTCCCAGGATTATCCTCTTATAATAAACACATTCCTGCGGAGGGTGCTGGTAGGAACGTTGGTTGCTCAGTCAGTGGCCAGGGTCAATGGCGGCGTGGTGTATTCCGCAAATACGCCCGACTGTGAGGGCGGGCACAAGCCGGCGTGAGTAGGTTAAACGTTGAGTTTTATAAGGGCACCACGGGGTGACCAGCCCCTCCCCACCCAGCCCCACCCCACCCAGCCCCACTCCAACCACCCCCCACCCAGCCCCACCCTCCCCACCCAGCCCCTCCCCACCCAGCCCCTCCCTACCCTCCCCTCTCCACCCAGCCCCACCCCTCCCATTTTTTTTATATCCGAATGTCCGGATACACGTGGACAGACATCCACAGACATACACAATTAATCCCCTGCCTCCTCTAAGAATTAATCCCGGTTGGGCTTCCAGTCTACTACGTTTCCCTACCAGTAATGCCCACTAGGAGCGCATTTGTTATATATCCGGGTGTCCAGATACACGTGGACAGATCCACAGACATACACAATTAATCCCCTGCCTCCTGTGAGAACTAATCCCGGTTGGGCTTCCAGTCCACTACGTTTCCTACCAGTATAATATATATTTGACTCATCCAACTTGGGAAATCTGTAAGACTTCCTGGGACACTACTGTTACCTACCAAAATGCTGAATCACGATGATCATCATCGCCGTAAAACACCACTCGAGAAAATTCCTTTCCACGTAGTTCGTCCACTCTCGCATTATCGTGAGATGTGATTCCTCCCATGATGCGGCCCGTTTGTTTCGAGCGTGCCGAAACACCCCGACAGACGACCACAGAGGGCTTCAAGCCAAACTGCTGGCTAGCGACCACCTTCCTGGCTGCCTTCCCACGTTGTCTGCGGTTCCACTCCGCGCCTGCGTCCGCACGGGAAACGAACCAAAAAAAATTCTACAGCGCACCTCCTCCCCCACCCCCTCCCGACCTGAGATGCAATTTCTCACCGACGATGGATGCCGCTATATAAAATTTAAAACACGATTGTGATTCTTTTTTCGTTAAACAATTTTTCAACCTGAGAGGTGGTGGCCACCCTATAAATGGAGATAGTGACAGGTGGGAGGCCGCGGGGGGGGGGGGGGCGTGGGGGGGGGGGGCACACAGACTCGCTTGGCACCCCTTCCCAAAGGGCCTGCGATTGTTTCTGTAGCTCCGCTCGTCGGCTGTACCGTCAGGCACCGTAATCCCCTTTCAACCACCTCGTTTCTGCTCAAAAGCCTCTTTTGTGTGTTTTGTGTGTGTGTGCAGGCAGAGATCGGGTGCAGTGGCTGAACAAGATGTGCATGCCAACTCGCTGAGCCCCCGCTCAATTAGGGAGTTAGTGGCATTTTCCAGGAAATTTTACGTAAACTTAAGATGTGTACACTAGGCATCTACTGCAAGTCTGTTGTCAGAGACTTCTGGGAATTTATATGTACTAATTACCCAATCTAATGTTCAGGCTTTAACCACCATTCCTAATGTAAGAACCTAGTCTTCGATCATATTGTCATCATCATCATCAATCCACCCAAGCTGGTGCTATTTCCCACAATCCTTCGATTGTGTAATCCACCTAGCGCCTGCACATGAGCTGACTTCATCGCTCCATCTCCTTGGTCGACGTCCTTTCAGATGCGTCCCGCTGAGCACAGGCCCCAAAAGCCCCAAAACGTCAAGCTTCCAGCAACAAACAGCACAATTAAAGTTGTAATAGATAATAGTACTGCAAGTTTGTTGCATGTATGCTTGTTGAACTTCATTTCCACCGTACGCTGACAACCCAGGATTATCGGAGGTGCGGAGGAAGGACGCCAAAATAAACACAAAAAGCAGTTCTAAAGAAATGAGTTTTCAATCTATATTTAAAAGTGCATAGCTCCAATGGCTTCCTAATATCGGACGGAAGAGCGTTCCAGACAGCCGCAGAAGTACATATAAAAGTGCGCGATGCAGTGACCGTCTTTGCTCGACGGGTAGCCAAAAGCCACTGAGAGGATGACCAGAGTTCACGTGATGGTTTACTGCGTGTTTCTTGACGAGATCAGCAAGGCATTTTAGTTCATTTGTGGTGAACATTTTCTGTGTAATGAGTGCGACCTTATGATGTATTCGTTCGGTAACCTGAAGCCAATGCAGCTCGGCGGGCACTGGACGGAAAATTGTGCAAGGTTGTAAGAAGTTGGGGGTAAAAAAAAGACGATGCGGAAGAATTCCATAGCGGAACGGTGCGAGAGCAGAAGGAACAGACAGACGGGCTGTGACCTGCAGTGTGGTGAGTGAGAGAGCGTGTTGCTCTTGTGGGGAGCGGTAATGCGGCGGTAAGCGCTACGCTGCGCTACGAACCTGGCCACCTGGATTCAATTCACGCTCACGGCCAACACAGGTGACGATTATCTGAACCGGTCCTTTGGCTTCCCTAGGTCAACTCGGCCTCAAATGACTACCTAGTGCGGTGTGTAAATATCATCACCGGGGAGACAAAGGCGGCGGGGCGTGGTGCTGGTCACCCACCCCATCGTGGTGCCGTGCTGGCCTTCATAAATGCTCGCAAAATGCGCTCACTCCTACAGTCTGTTTAGGCTACACGGGTGATCTTTATCCGTGTGTTCTTGCAAACTATGATGCGGCGGGTGAATACCGTGTCGGATGAGATGAAAACAGTCAGTCTGGTAGCCCGAGTCCGTGCTTAGGAGCCAACAACTCTCACCTATAGCCAGCAAGGCATCTTCAAACGAGCCGGCCGTCTCGCTCTTGATACTGTCCTCGATGTCTTTGTTGGTCATTGTCTTGTAGGTGTCAAACACTGGGAAGACAATGCGTTCAAACACGTGACCGATGCATGCGCACAGCAGCGGCGCAAATGTAGGGAGGTGCAGTGGCAGGGTGATGAGCTCACCGCGGCTGGCGGCCCAGTGGCCCGAGTAAAATTTTGGCCACGTTTAACATAAGTGGCGAGCGATATCTTAACCGGTTCTGGCTGTCCCTGCTTCACCAACCAGCACTGACCAGCATAGTGAAGTATGGTCGCATTTCCCCCATCACTGACGTGGCGTTGGGAGGTCTTCATCAAGCAGTGGATCGACACAAGGGCCGTGCGTTATCCTTGCAAATGTGATGTGTAACTTTCATCCTTAACGATGTATCGAAAGCTACATGTTAATGTGCACTGTTATGAAGGGACGGTGCATTATCTTGGTGTGGTCTGGGGCCGTTTTTGCTGTTGTTTTGCTGTCTTGCCCAAGCTTGGGAATTTGCGTACTTATGAAATTTGAATATCTGAACCGGTCCAGGGTCTCTGCGAGGTAGACTCGACCTAAATTGAGTACCTGGCGCGATGTGTAAACATCGTCACTGGGGAGACAAAGGCGGTCGGGTGTGGTGCTGGCCACCCACCCCCTCCCGTGTGCCATGTCCGGCCTTCACAGCTGCAACTCGCTAACAGCGCTTGCCCCTACAGTCTTCGTCTCTGTTTTGCCACATTGCAAGGGAGTCGTGGGGGAGGTGATACGCACCGCGGCGCAGGTGGTGCACGTTGCGCACGCACAGGATCATGATGAAGGCTCCCTCGTCGGTCCCCCACTTCTTCTCTCCCGCCTCAAGCAGCTCCTGCGGAGTGAACCCGACCAACTCACGAGTGACCTCTGGCTCAGGTGAGCGTTGGGGCGGTGGACAATCCAGCGTTGCTATTATGAAGCCCCCCCCCCAACGCGTGGAATGAAACGTCGGACATCGTAACATTTTTATTTTATTTTACTAGGTAAGGCCCACTGAGCTATATATAGTTATCTTTTTTTTCCAGAAGCGACCTGGCTCTCACAAATTATAGCTGAACGAAGTGGCTAATCATCATGTGGAAATTCATAGCAGCCAAATCATCTAAATGCGTGACGTTGATTCTAAATGTGGAGGGGGAAACCGGAAGACCCAGAGAAAAGAATCTGTGGCGACCATGGCAGGAGGGAGAGTCTCTCCATCAGAAAGCCACCGTTGACTTCCCCCGCAAGGTTGTATTGGTTTTACCGAGCCCAGGGCAATGATGGGCTGAGTCAACCCTCCAGCCAGGAGGGTTGACTCAGCCAGGAGGGTTGACTCAGCCAGGAGGGTTGACTCAGCCAGGAGAGTTGACTCAGCCAGGAGGGTTGATTCAGCCAGGAGGGTTGACTCAGCCAGGAGGGTTGACTCAGCCAGGAGAGTTGACTCAGCCAGGAGAGTTGACTCAGCCAGGAGGGTTGACTCAGCCAGGAGGGTTGACTCAGCCAGGAGGGTTGACTCAGCCAGGAGAGTTGACTCAGCCAGGAGGGTTGACTCAGCCAGGAGGGTTGACTCAGCCAGGAGGGTTGACTCAGCCAGGAGGGTTGACTCATCCAGGAGAGTTGACTCAGCCAGGAGGGTTGACTCAGCCAGGAGGGTTGACTCAGCCAGGAGAGTTGACTCAGCCAAGAGGGTTGACTCAGCCAGGAGGGTTGACTCAGCCAGGAGGGTTGACTCAGCCAGGAGGGTTGACTCAGCCAGGAGGGTTGACTCCGCCAGGAGGGTTGACTCAGCCAGGAGGGTTGACTCAGCCAGGAGGGTTGACTCAGCCAGGAGGGTTGACTCAGCCAGGAGGGTTGACTCAGCCAGGAGGGTTGACTCAGCCAGGAGAGTTGACTCAGCCAGGAGGGTTGACTCAGCCAGGAGGGTTGACTCAGCCAGGAGGGTTGACTCAGCCAGGAGGGTTGACTCAGCCAGGAGGGTTGACTCAGCCAGGAGAGTTGACTCAGCACGAAGGTAACGAGATGTCATCTCCCTCGGAGGTCCCGGGTTCGATCCCGACCCTGACGCCTGCTGTACATTTGGAGTTTGGGTGTCTCTCTCTCCCCGTGGTCATGGGGACTTTACTCCGGGCCCTCCGGTTTTTCCCAACCACGTTGAATCAACATCACGCGTTTAGAGTATTTGGCTGCCGTAAACTTCCACACGATGACAAGCCACTTCGCTGAGCTACCATTTGTGGCCAACTTGCTTCTGAAAAAGAGCAAATAGCTCAGTGGGCTTTACCGGGCAATATGAAAGTAGTAAAATATATATTTGAACTCGCAACCTTATGATTTCTGAGCTACTTGCTCTATGGCTGGGCCACCGTTTCTGTGAGCCGTGTAAAGTATTAATCATTCCCATGCTGCCCTATTGTCCTTGGCCATTGATCTGTGCGACTGGTGACCGATGAGAGAACGATATGTCATAGAAGCGGAGGCATTCATCAGATATCGCGAATACAAAACGGTTCATAACCGACGCATTTAAGCTGTTAACTTAAAAACATGGGTTTGCATAGCCAATAAAATGACACACATTTGTTTTGGGGTTAGGCCACATCATAGTGTTATGGCATAACTCTTGTCATCATCCCTCAATCATCCCAAAAATTGGCACGTTTACAAAGATATTATTGCATGTGCCAATGCATTGATCAACGTATGACGTTTTGCTCAGACTGCTTTGAGCTTCAGGCGATGAAGTTCCAAACAGTTTGAGTGAAAAACGTCGCCGTACGTCGACGTTAAATTCGGTCGAGAAGCCTTCCACCACCGGTGAGAAGGAGGCGGTGGTGGTGGAGTTTTTATCGGTCAGAATTTGGTCGACATGTAACGGTCCTCCGTAGCGGTCCCCACAACATCGGCAGTCCCTAGCCCCGACACGCCGACGTCAATCCCTGCGCCGAGTTGACGGCGGAGGAACCCCGCGGTGTGGAGCAAGCGGATTGGTGGCTGGAGATGAGTGGACACGGTGCGAGGTGTGACGAGATGTGATTGGTGCTTGGGAATGAGGGGACAGGGATGAGGGGAGGGAATGGGAGAGGGGACCGTGAGGATAAGAGGGCACGTCAGAGGAGGGACGAGGGAGAGAGAGCTGTGGATGAAGGAGGGAGCTGAGTATGAAGGAGGGAGCTGTGTGTGAAGGAGGGAGCTGCGTATGAAGGAGGGAGCTGCGTATGAAGGAGGGAGCTGCGTATGAAGGAGGGAGCTGTGTGTGAAGGAGGGAGCTGTGTGTGGAATACAAGGACTGGAACCCTGCTCTACTTGCCTCCGTGTGTTGGTGAGGACAGTATCCGCTATAGATACAATGGCCACGTATAAATAACAATTATAATACCGTTGTAAACGTGACAATCTTGTCGGGTGGTGGAGGGTGAACGACATTCACTTTGGCATAAAACTCCCATCCACGTGGTCTCATCCAAAAACAAACATGGATCACATTCAAGCTGTGTTTCCAGTCCTGGACGTGCAATTAAAATCGAATTTCGTTGTTGCCCTTCCCCCGTACCTCCAATTAACACGGTCGGCTACGTACGGCGAGAAAGAAGTTCAACACACATACGTACAATCGCTTTACAAATCCATATTTGCATGGTAAGGAAAGATTGCCACCACTTCCCTTCTTGACACATCAATGGGAGCGCGATCTTGACATAGCCAATCTGACCAGAGCGCCACAACCAATGGTGCACAGTGTTCACTTACACCATTGGGAAGAGGATTAAGGAACAATTTAAGGGCTAACCGACGACACCAGCAAGCAGGGCTTAAGGAAATTTTTTTCCACTATCGGTCACACGCATGCTATTAATTATAAACGTGCTGGCTGAGCAAGTGGGAGAAATTCTATATTGCTATGGCAGGGACAAGTTTTCTTTTTTCCTCCATGGGATGACCACTTAACAACTTTGCAAGATATAGGAATAGGTTTTACCCTTTTAACTGGCACAAAAACTGACACCTTTATTCAAGGCATCATGTTTGCAATAACCACAACACAAGCAGTCAAAATGCAAACAAAAAAGACAACTCTGATAATAATATGCACTGTCTTTGAATTTGATTGGTCCACACCCGAGACAGCTTTTCTTAGAGCCTAGTCTCCACTGGTGTTGGACCAGAAGACGCCAAAAGGCGTACAACTCAAAAACAGCGCACTATCAGAGTATTGAGGGCTCGGGGTGAGCATTTATATTATGAGACCTCCTTTGCCAGTAACAAGATATAGGAATAGGTTTTACCCTTTTATCCGTTGTATAATTTTAAGCATTGCTGTTTCCACACCCCGTCACCACCCCACCCCCCCCCATATTATTCCATCGTTTTGGTCGAGTTTGCTACGTACGGGCTGAGTTTAACCAAGATTGCGTCTACGTAGGATTGAGCTCACGCGTCATTGTTTCATTCATCTGCATGCAATCTCCCGCCTTGGGCCCTGTGACACAGAGCTGCGTGGCTCATCGGGATCTTCCAGCGTCCACCAAGCGCCTGCGTCTGCATCAATTCCACGAGGTGGCAGTTTCGGCGAGCGCGCAGCCTTCCGCGGTCCGCGTCATCAGTTACCTTGGCGTCTTTTTCCACGAGCTCTTGGTCCACGAAATTTCCTTCGTCCCTGTTCGCCTGGGACACAAACAAATCGGACCAAACCGTGCGCTCGGAACGTCTACCCCGACGCGCGCCGACGCTCGGAGGATGTTGCCTTTTGTTGCCGTCGTCAACTGAGTTAGGCCTTACCTGCCGTGACGTACGGATTGTATAGCAACATGAGTTTGCGCGTGGTGGCGCAAAGCGTGCGATCGCTCCGTACTTAAAGCTTCAGGGACTGCAGTCGTCGCCCCGTCGCACGGATCACTGGTGGTGGGTACGAGAACACGGTCCCCCCTTTATTACCTCGCTTGTCGCTTCACTTTTGTCTCCGCCCGGCGGGCTGCATTGGGGCGCCGTGGTAACGAGATGTTAACGACCTCACCCAGTATACAGGAGGTCGTGAGTTCGATGCCGACCCTGATGCCTGCTGTATGTTTTGGGTTTGCATGCTCTAACCGTGGTTCGTGTGGATTTTTCTCCGGGTCCTCCGGTTTTCCCCTCCACATTAAGAATGAACGTGCGTTTTGAGTATATGCACTTTTAAATCCAGATTGAAACCTCATTTCTTTAGAACTGCTTTTGTGTTAAGTTTTGATTGTCCTTCCCCCCGCACCTCTGATTAGCACGTTTGGCTACGTACAGTGCAAAACACGTTCAACATACGTTCCCCTTCTCCCCCTGCATCCCTTGCTTAGTCCTCCAGCTGCCCTGTCATCCTCCTACATCACGGCCAGACACGACAGGAAAGCACACCCGAACTGTGCTTCATCTCTCACGGCCGTACATTGTTGACGTGACTGAGCATTCCGAGTGGGATGTGTCGCGCATTAAGCGATCCCACCGCGGCGGTGTCAAGCCGCGCACACACCTGCAGCAGGGCCACCAGGACACGACGCAGGTAGCTCGAGGTGTCCGAGGCGATGTCATCCTCCAGCTTGTTGCCATACTCTGAATGGTAAAAGGAGGGACAGAATTTCACATGCAATTGATGATGATGATGGTCATCATTTTAAAAGGTGCCAGAAAACTTGACTGGTTCAAGCGAGGCCGATTCTGCTGATGAGACGGTAAATGTCCAAGCCGGCCCAGACTTCGCTTGTGTTGCACCAATGCTGCGACGGATGAGATGCACTCTTGAGAGCTTGTTGTCATTCTGCCCCTGATGATTGGTTGGCAGGATGACACCGACACACCCTGAATGACAACTTCTAAACCACAACCTCTGAATGACAACTTCTAAACCACAACCTCTGAATGACAACGTTTTGCCACAATTTGAGCTCCGGGGTGATTCATCACCTCCCCGAGCCACGCAGCCTCCCAACGAGACGTTGGAAGCTAAAACGAAAGGCCGACAGGCGGTGTTCGACCACGCCGCGGGGCCGAACTAATTGGAGATTACGGAACTGACCTTCCTCGTACACGTGGCTCATGGCCTTGATCTGCTGCTTGGTGCGTGAAGCCAGGATCTCGCTCAGGCAGCCTTCATCTGTCCCCGCGCCCTGCCACGGTGAACGGCATTAACATACGCGGGAATCGACTCACGAAACATATATCGACTCTTATCCATTACAACTTTTAAAGTGTTGGGAGCACGATGTGCGTCACTTCGCTTCACGCGATGGGAGCTTCTTTCATGCTGAAGAAGCCCCCAACATCATAACCAACTTTTAATTTCACCAGGTAAGGCCCACTGAGCAGTATAACTCTCCTTCAGAAGCGACCTGGCCACAAATGATGGCTCAATAAAGTGACTTATCATGTGGCAATTTATAGGAGCCAAATACTCTACACACAGGGTCGGGATGGAACCCACGAGCTCCCGCATACCAGGCCAGGTCATTAACATCTCGCCACCATGGCGTGCTAACCCTTAGAAGGGACTGAGCAAAGGAGAATCAAGCGCCACATCCCGCGTCAATCCGGGGTGCGCTCAGCGATCAGCCAATGATGTGAGCGGTCAATTTGGTGGGGAGCTTGACCAATCAGCAGCAAACGATGCCCATTTCAAACCGCGAAGCTCTTGAACTCTGTTGTGAACCTCCGGCATTTACAATACACAGGGTATGCCTTTTAGCCATCCTTACGCAAGGGCGACCACACTTGCTGACCCGCCCATACTGGACATCTCTGAAAAAGAGCTTCAAAGCTCAGCGGATTCCTCCAGTCTACATAAAGATTCCGAATCTGATTCTGAAGACTGTCAGCAGTGGCAGTAGTTAAAGGACATTGCAGGATGGCAATGTGCAACCTAAAACGATAAAAAAACCTACAAATATTGATGCGAAAACGGACGTCCGGAGAATGACCGTGTGAAGGTTGGTGTTCTAGTAAAGTGCATGAGACGGGCCCGCGCCCACCTTGATGGCATTGCGCATCTCGTAGGCGTCGTACTGGGCAGGAACGTGGAGCAGAGCCACCAGCACCCGCACGAACGAGCCCGACGTCTCCGACTTGATGTCGTCGATCAGATCCTGCGATACGGACAGACAAATAAAGCCCCGTGCAGTGGCAATAGTGCACGATTGTATGATACGATGTGGATTCGCATCGCGGTATCTCTGAATAAGATTTTTTTAAATTTAGACTGGAGGAATCCGATGAGCTATGAAGCTCTTTTTCACAGATGTCCAGTAGGGGCGGGTCAAGAACGTCACAACATCAAACAACACAAAAACACGATAAGAGTGTAAAGTATAGGAAAGGTATGCAAATCACTTTGAAGAATATACAAATAAAATTCAACTATTTTTTTTATCTTATCAGGTAAAAGCCCACTGAGCTATTAGCTTATTTTTCAGAAATGATAGCTCAGCAAAGTGGCTCATCATGTGGACATTTATAGCAGCAAAATCATCTAAATAATCTACTGTACGTGTGCGATCGCTCCCTAAGACGCTGCACGGAAACAGTGGACAGATTTACTTCATAGAGAGAAAGAGGCAACCACAGGTAGAGGGATAGAGGAAAGGTACGAACTACATGCAGCTTGGCAGGGAGTTAATGGAACAGATGGCTGGGGGAAGGGACGGACCTCCAGCAGAGGAGAATAAGCAACGTGAGGTGGGTACACACACACACACAATAATCACACGCAGCAAAAAAAAAGATGACGTTCCATTCAAATCCAAAGTTATTGAACGTGTCACGGATAAGGTAGGTCATTCTGTGGGAGTCATGCCAAATGTGGATACCTCAAGGGGGCTGTGTGGTGGCCCATGATTGAATGACGAACGACCGCTTTGCCCCTCAGCATTGCACCACATTTAGAGTTATTTTTCCACAAAGACGTCAAATAATTGAGGCGTATCGTGCGCAAAAAAAAACTTGATAACCCGTACACTGATATTTCTTACATGATGTCTGCTGATTTCATTGAATTCAGGTCGTTGCTATTGTGTCAACTCCCCACAGATGGCCGCACAATGAACTGAACACTCATTCACCTATTCCATCCACCAGAGGAGGCCTTCATTCAGCAGTTATCGAACATGGCTTATGGTGATAATGGTGACGATGATGATGATGATGATATTTCCACCTAATTCACCAACGTCTACACATCAGCCTACTCTAATGACAATTATCTTTCGCGGGGGTGGTAAAGTCTTTTTGTATGTCCCGGACACTCAATTGCGGGTGGATTGTAACCTGGCAGTATGCTAATTTGCAGATATTTGGAGTCGGTGCAAGTTGACTGGATTATACTCAAGAAGTTTTACACACTCTGCCGTACGCAGTCTTGTACGCCTTCATGATGAGCTGCCGTTGGGCGTTGCTGCGACGAGTCAGCACGTCCGTCAGCGTCTTCTCATCCGTTCCTACACAACACACACATGTACTCCATTCTCATCCGTTCCTACACAACACACACATGTACTCCATTGACAAATCAATGGAGGTATCCGTTCCTAAACAACACACACATGTACTCCATTGACAAATCTTCTCATCCGTTCCGACACAACACACACATGTACTCCATTGACAAATCTTCTCATCCGTTCATTCACAACACACAATGTACTCCATTGACAAATCAATGCAGGTAGTCGGGTGACTCATAGGTCAGAACACCGAGGCAGGTTTATATGAAGGTTTCCACCGCTTGCTATTAAACCAGGTTCTTAAGTGCAGTGAGTTTAGAGCCTCAGCTCGGTTAACCGGTGACTCTGCAACAAAAATACTGCTCACATTAAGCTCGGCTCTTGACTTGAAATTTTGGCTAAGTAAAATGTTTGAAAACATTTTAATTTTAAAAGTGACGTGAAGAACATTGCTCTCTGTGGCAAGCTGCGAAAGTGCTGCCCCCTACTGTTTGCGCCAGAGGTCACGTGAAAGAATCTCGGGATGCAGATCTGTGATATCCGCTTCCATGCGCCGTCGTTTTCTTGTGCGACATTGACACCACTCTGTGGGATATCTGAATGCTTCCAAAGTCTCATGGCACGACGCCAAAGAAGCAATTGAGAAAAATAATTGCCACGTGACACCGTGAACGTGTGACAACATGTGGAGACCCAATCATTTCATTGCGTGAACGTTTTGGGTGGAGCAGTGGTGCAGTGGTTTGCTTAAAGCTCGGTGAAGGCGTTCGATCCCAAGCCATGGCTGACATCAGTGGCGAGCGATAATCAGCACTAGTTCTGGTCCCCGTACTAGAGTAGCCAAAATGCGCTCCGTCAAGACTCTCCATGAAGAACTCCCTCGAGTGGAGGCCCTTCCACCAGCAATGGCGTGAACAAGAAATTGCAGGGATGCGCCTTTATCACCTTCACCTGACCACCACACACCGTCCCAAACCCTTCACCAACCCACGATGACCTGCATGGTGAAGTGTGGTCAAACAGCCCCACGACTCATACGGAATGGCGATGCCTTCACCCAGCATTGGACAGACACAGGGCTGTAAAGAATTATTACAGCAAAATCTCGATTTACGTCGGGATGCGTTCTTGAAAGGCGCGACGACCGATATCGAAACGACGTCAATCAAAGCGATTTACAGAGTTAGGTGGGTGGAGGCGAAGGCTGAGAGGCGACGGGTAACGAGAAAGCACGGAGGATGTTGTCAGCGACGTAAGTCAGAATCTTTATTTAGACTGGAGGAATCCGATGAGCTATGAAGCTCTTTTTTCACAGACGTCCAAGTGTGGGTTGAAGCGACGCAAATCAGGCAGCGGTGTTCGTGAAGTGACGACGTATTGGCGAAACGACGTGAAAGGGGGAGACGTAAATCGGGGTATCGCTGTATTTTATACCAACTGGACGACACAAATACGAAATGGACGAGACAAACGTGTGGCGGTTGGATAACTGAACGGAGGGGTTTGCAAACGCTGCGTGATGCTTACCCAAGCCCTTCATGGCCTTGTAGAGTTTCTCTGCATCGGCTTCCACGTTGAGACTCGGGCTCTCCCTGATGGTGCCACGCAGGTTGATCACCTGCGTAAGCAGAACACACCATGCCCCTGGTCGTACTCCTCCACATTCAGAAACACGCAATGAGATTATTGAGATTATTTTGGTGCCATAAATGTTCGAATGATGGGGCCACTTTGTTGAGCTGTCATTTGTGGCCAGGCCCCTTCTGAACAATACGTGAATACCTCAGTGGGCTTTGCCTGGTAGGATGGTGATGGTTTAGATTTATTTGTAGGTGTTTGGGTGGTTTATTTACCTTTCACGTACTTTGCACTGCTATCGTATATTTGTTTTACTGTTTGTTGTTGTAACGTTCTTACCGTCCCCTACTGGACATCTGTGAAAAAGAGCTTCATAGCTCATCGGATTCCTCCGCTATAAATATTCGGATTCTTAAATCCCAAATCCACCACCCCCGGCCTCCATCCACCCAGCAGACTAACCGTGGTACACTACGGTCAGTCAATTGGCAGGCCGTGAGTGGTAGGGCATGACGTGGGAACTCTTCCAAGACATCTGGCCAGTGTGGATGAGTAGGCCAAATACCCTCAAGGGGGGATCTCTTGAGATCCCTCGAGTGCAGGCTCTGTCTGCCAGTAGCAGCATTGACAAGCAGTTGCAGGGCCACAACGTTACCTTCACTCTGGACGGCGCTCAAATTTTCATCACATTACTTTCATCATGTTGTCGCTATTTGGAAATATTTCATTGGGGTCTTAAAGCGGTAGCTAACTCGAAATTGTGCGTAAACGGGTCCCTAAACTGGCGCTGGACAATGTAAACGATCTTCACCGAACATTTGCTCCCCAGCAACTTGAGCCAAACTTGTATGTCCTCGGTGATGAATATGACATGAAGTTCGTCAATTAACGACCGGGCGACCTCTCTCTCTGCCGGGATGAGTTCATGCGGCTCGGACAGCCGGCGGTTCGGGTGGCAAGGGGTCCCCTTCCTCGATCCGAGCAATGTGGACGGTGGGGGGGGCGGCACAATTGAGCACGGTCACCCGGCTGCCGCTGTGTTTCGTGGGAACACGAGAGCACGGCGGACATACGAGTAGATTGCGCTTCATTAATAATAATAATAATACTAAGACTGAGAACAATGGCGCGTGGGTTTTCACAGTCGCTTCGCCTCAATCGCCACCGCGGAAGGCGCTGCCGTGGTGGCGAGAGAGGGCGCCGCAGCGGAGAAATGTGAACTACCTCGCCTGGTGCGCAGGACTTCGTGGGTTTGATCCCGACTCTGACGCCTGCTGTACATTTGGAGTTTGCGTGTTCTCCGCGTGGTCACGTGGATTTTTCTCCGGGTCCTCCGGTTTTCCCCTTCCACGCTTAGAAATGTGCGTTTGCAGCACGGCATTTGGCTTCTATACATTCCCACGTGATGAGCCACTTTGTTGAGCTACCATTTGTGGCGAGGTCGCTTCTGAAAAAGAGCTACATAGCTCAGCGGGCCTTGCCTGGTAAAAATAAAAAGTTTAGTCGAGTTTAGAACTGGCGTCTGTGTTGGAATGGCAATAAGAATTGGTTTGTGCCGAGATCTGGTGCCGGTGTTGTGTTGAACTACTCTTACACTATATACTAGACAGTTTTGATGAACAGGCCTAGGCTTGACTGAGAAATGTGTCCGGGTTTGAATGGAAAAGGTGGCAACCCTACACCACGTGCTGATCGACATGATGTCCGACGTTCCGCTCCACGTGCTGGAATGATGACCAATGCAGCTACTTGAATCGGGCTCCAAAGTCTCACTACTCACCCTCCACCATGCATCAATCCAAAATAAATTTGATAAGACTTGTCTTTCCACCCAGCGGTGGAAACATGTGTGCACCACAGTTAGCCAATCTGTAGGTCTCGTGTAGTGGGGTAAAGTGTGGGCACTTCCCCTTTCTCCAAATCGTTTGGCCAGCGTGGAAGAGTAGGCCAAATACATCCTCGAGCAACTCCTTGGCAGAGGCCCTTCCGGCAAAGAGTGGTGAGAGCAGGAAATTGCAGAGCTGCAACTTAACGTTTTATATCCACGGTGATATATCGGTCTTCTTTGATGCCAGTTTAACGCGCAGGGTTTCGCGACGAATATTATCCATAGTAGAGGTTTTTGGGTTATATCGCGTAAATAAAAAATATCAAAATACCGTAAATTGCGGGGGAAATTGATAAACTAGCCAGAATAAAAAAACATCCGAGTGAAATTTGGCATGGTACATAACATACAAAAACTAATATCTGGTACTAAAGGTATACTACTAAAGCTATTAACAGAAGGTGTGTACCGGATTAATTGCTCCTGTGCCAAATGCTATTTTGGTCAGACAGGATGAATGATCAGCACGAGACGAAAAGAACACCAAAGGAAAATTAAATGCTTCCGCAGGGGCAGAAGACGCGTGCCAACAAGGACACTCAATTTATTTTGATGTTTAAGTTTTGTGCAAAACTAGTTACTACTGGCCAAGATTAATTAGACGATCTATTGAAATTGAGAGAATTCAAAATAATTGTAACCGTTCGGATAGCTACAGGCTTAGTGATGTTTGTAAATGGATGATTAAGTAATACACTTTAACTGCATGCCTGTACAGGTTGATGGTGATATTGCGATTTCTTTACCAAAAAACGGCAGAATGGACAGGATCACAAGTAACGACATCACATGTATCCCTCTATTTAAGACCAAAACAGGAGGATTTCTCCACAATTCTGGCTGTCCGCCTGATAATGCTGGTTGTAATTACTGGCGAAACGTCGTACTCGAATTGCAAATGTTGTGGGTTTACTCTCCAGCGCACCGGTGTGCTGAGCTAGTAACGAATTCGCATTCATTGTTGACAAACCTTATTAATTGGCTGTGTCGGGTGGTGGCGGGTTTGACGACACATTTATATTTACGCGATCGAACTAAAAAACAACAACTCTTTGTTGCCGCACTGCGCGCTGGATCGACAGGCATCCAATGGGTGTGTCGCTGTCCACACGCAGACTCTTTGGTGGATGAATCTGGCCCTGGTGTCTTATTCTCCGCGAGCGGGCTCACGATTGCACGCTTCCTTTTTCTTTTACAGGCAAAAAAGATGCTGCTCACACTGGCTAAATTCAGCATACCGTTTCGCCCTGAATTTAAGACTGTATCCAAAGCCAACGTAGTTTCTTGGTCAAATGAGGCGGTGCCCATCTCCTCATTTAGTAGCTCTGAGCAAACGGTGGAAATCCCACATTTGTATGGGTGCAGTGAATTTTAATGTGAATTTTTTATTTTATTCATAGTGTATAAAATCCAGCATCGAAATTGTTTTACTCAAAAGAGCATTGCGACAGTGCTAAAACCCCTCTTTACAGCCCTTTGCCAATGGTGGAGATTCAACATTCCCATGGCAGGGGACGAGTCCTTCCATAGGTGCAACCGCTGTTGACGTTCCCGCAAAGTGATACGTTATTTTTTTATCGACGCAGCAGGGACGATGGGCCGAGTCATCTCGTAGCCGGGATTTGAACTCGCAGCCATTGCCGATTGCGAGCCGCCCGCTCTGCCGCCCGCTCTGCCGCCCGAGTCACCCGGCCGGTCGCTCGTGTCATCCCACAATCGGATGGAGCCAATGACTTACGCACTCCCAGCTGCTTCACCAACTATAACGAGAGGAGCAGAAACGCTGCATGAGCCGGCCCTGTGGCATCAGCACCCTACCAACGTGACGTCTCGCTGCGTCCCGTGTCTTCTCATCACGTATTGATACTCGCTTCTGAATAAACGCTCTGCCTCCCCAACTATTTTGTTTCTTATGATAACTGCCTTGTGCTTTCCCCTTTCCTTTTTTGCCTTTAGCATATTTTTGACGGCGTGGCTTTTGAATCCGTTATCATGCAGTAGTTTGTAACTCTAGGTGGGTCTCGGCATGAGCTATACCGCTTGACACCTGTTCCAAAATAAAAGTGACAGCATGCCTCCTTCTCATATTTGTCTCTCCACGGAGACTTCCCATCGGCCCAACCGGCCTCTTGAGAGTGCATTTTGTCAGCAGCAAAAACTGTGGACTGTTTCCACATTCAGTGTCTCATCAGCGGCGTCAGGCTTGCTCGCATCAATGCTGGTGAACTGCAAGATGCTTATAGGCAAGGACACCTCTCTTTAAGACATGGGAGGAGAACGTCCGGGCCGTGTAAGGCCCGCAACATTATTTGGTCTCTGGCCCTGCAAAGGCAACCGCAGGCGGGACTCGAAATTCAATAAATCTAGGAGCAAACCTGGAAAAGCAGTTGCGAGTAACAACATCATCAATACCAGCTAACATCATCATTACCAGCTAACATCATCAATACCAGCTAACATCATCATTACCAGCTAACATCATCAATACCAGCTAACATCATCAATACCAACTAACATCACATGCCTCACCAAAGAGAAGCAGTTCCAGCCATCACATTAGGGGTGAGTTAATTAAATGTTTTACAAAATATAAACAGGCTCATTTTTAAGTTGATGATTTTGTATGGCCCGCGAATGATGCTATAAACATCCAAATGGCTCTTGGCAGAAAAAAGGTTCCCCACCCCTGCTTTAAGATGTGGGTCGTAGTTGGACGCAGCACAACACAAAATAATGATTTGAACATACACAACAAAATCAATAAGTTGGTAAGGGTAGGCCCAGGACTGGTTCAGATAATGGTCAGTGGTGTTGTCTGTGAGCAGGAATAAAACGTACAGAACTGTCCCTGGGCTCACTCACAAATCTACAGTTGGCTTGGCGGCACTGCTGATGTAGCTAAACCCAGCGGCCCAACACAGGACTGAGATTTAAAATAATGGCGCATGCGCGTGTTGTCTTTGTACACTAATGCGTTATGATTGATCATGCGTGGCATGATTGCATCAAACGATACTTACGCCCCCTTTGGCTGCCATGGTTGGTTTGTCGCTTGATCGATGTTCCGGGGAGCTCGGAAGCTGCACACACAAAAAAATGGGTTTTAAATTAAACGTACGCGACGGGAATACGTATCACTGTGCACGTTTACTCGTTACAATATAGAAGTGATAAAAACACATTAGCACTCCGGCCCGGTGGCTCAGCGGTAAAGCGAGCGGCTTGCAATCGGAAGGTTGCCAGTTCAACTCCTGGTTGTGAGATTGACTCAGCCCATCATCCCTCCGGGGGGGGTGGGGGTCTATAAAATGAGTACCACTTCGTGGGGAAGTCAACAGTAATCATCCCATTCAGAGACTCACCCCCCACCATAGCAATATGGATTTTCCACCACTGTCCCAAGGCGGTAAATGGCAGATGAGCACCCAATGCCTCAATTCTCAATGCTCTTCGTTGAAGCAGACGCGCACTGTGAGTGATATGGTTGGTGGATCAGCGGGCGAATGCATAATGCATACGACTCTGTGGGCTAGCACGGTTCAGAGTCTGGGATTGAAGCCCAGTTAGCAATGTGAGATGGAAACGTCGTTCAACTTTTTCAGTGTAGCAAACTGATGGTCATCAAAGCCTCTTCAGAAGAAGAGGGGGGAAAAGAAGCTACGAGAGTGGGTAGTTGAGTTTTGTAGTTAACGTTGATCAGCTCATATCCATGGATGAAATGTGTGGAAACGTATCATATTTGAAAACATCAGAAAGTGGCGCAGTGCTGCACTAGCCAGGCGCCAGGTGAGGTTGTCGTATGGACTACATAAACCAATTGTGAAGAGTGTGACTCAGAGGGCTCCACCTTTGACCAAATGATGATGACCTATGAGTATATGCCTATGACCGCATTACCCGGTATGCCAGAGTCGGTGGGGGCTATGCACGTGGCTTGTAATCCAGCGCTGTGGAGGAGGCGAGGGTTGGTGTCTGCATGGGATGGAGCGGCAATGGGCAACCGAGACCGGCTGGTTGGTGGGCCGCATGTGCGGTCCTCCTTCACCTAAGCGGGCCGCAAGTTTATGCACTCATAATGGCCCCAAGTATAACCCGAGACACACACTGAGACCAGGCCAACGCGAAAGGCTCCACGGGACGCATGCGGCCAGCAGGCCTTGGTTTGCCCACCACTGGGATAGAGCGTTTCCCCCTCGCATACGTGGATTTCCTCCAGGTGCTTCGGTTTCCTCCCACATGATAAACACTCATTAATTGGCCGATACCTTGACATATAGTGGACCGCAGAGCTTGGCCAATTGTTCGCTGCTGGCTCACTGCGCGGCTCCCTTCCCGCTTTTCTGTGGTTCCTCACCCATGCTGCGTCCTTCTCTCTCTATGAGAGCGAGTGGATGCTGTGCAGCGGTGCAGTATAAGTTGAAATCATGATTATTATTATTGTCTCGGAAACTTCTCAAGAACGGGGGATGCTGTGGTCCGATTAGCACCTCTGCTTAGCCACGGTTGGCTACATACAGTGCGAAAGAAGTTAAAATAAACAATAAAATAATACAATATATATTTTATTATTTTATTGTTTCCCTTCAACGTGACTTTACCGAAAGAACCAAGAATATGAATCACTGCAGTCATGAAAGCTTTAAATAAAAAGTTAAAATAAGTTAAAGAATTCCCAAAATGTTAAGCATTTTAATACTAATAATTGGGATCTTGAGATGGGGCAAAATATCTACACCCCCCGTCCCCCCCACCAGAGTAGAAGGCAGCTGTGGGCTGATGGGTGATGTGAGGTTCGTGTTTTTTTTTAATATCTACACCCCCCCTCCCCCCCCACCAGAGCAGAAGGCTGCTGTGGGCTGATAGGTGATGTGAGGTTCGTGTTTTTTTAAGTTTGAGCTGACGAGAAACTTTTGAAAGAGGAAGCGTGACGCCACAAATTACAGCGCTATCACGGAGGAAGGCGCCGCGGTGTTTCACAAGAGCGGTATCGCCGGCCAGTAGCGGGCGACGGCATTGCGACGAAGCTATCCCCATGCAGCAATTTGCGGTGTCACTCTTTCAAATTTGAACTCGGCACACAGCGGCCAACTACTTTTTATTCTTCCCCAATAACCTGACGGTACCTTTACCGTCCGCCGTGAAGCGGGCCGGCGAGCAGCAGCAAGTTAAGGTTAATGCCTCCCCCCCCCCCACGCAGTATTAACCAGGGCGGCCGCGGGGCTAGAGGCGCGTGCCTTCTGCAAGCAAGCGGCACGGTGCTGAGAGAGGCGTCGCCCGTCGATGCATTATTCAGCGGCGCGATGTGACACTGGCACGAGCGGCCGTGAACTCGATGCCCTTCTCGTATTCGGCATCGGTGCTGCATATTGCAGGAGGACGCTGTCTTGTAATAATCGTGGATAATAGGAAGAGCATTAGGAAGAAAAGGGTCGCAGATCGCAGGAGTTTTTTCGTGGACTCTGCAGCTCCCACCGATAACAGGAGTCGCGGATAATAGGCTCGCGGATAAGGTGGCATCTCCTGTAAATATTTACACTGGTGGGAAGGGAAACCATCACTGAGATGAGCAACATTTGATGTATATTTTGAATCTGTTATACTATGTGCTGTCAGAAGATAATCTGAAAATAGGAAAAATATTCAAGCTGATGATGTCACCACTTTGAGGGGGACTTGAGGTCATGGGGAATGATGATGATGTAGCGATGAACAGCGATGTCATATAAGAATAGGTTTCACCCTTTCTGGCAATACAACAGTTGTGTTAAGATGTTAAAACACCAAAATGAAACATTGCGCAATGAATCCTCTCTGCATTAACCACACGTACTTGTGGTGAACATGCAGACAAAAAACATGCTCTGATATCACATGCATTGTCTTAGAAACTGATTGGTCCACACCAGAGACAGCTTTCTTTACAGCCTAGTCCCAAACGGTGTTAGACCAGAGGACGCCAAAAGGCGAACAGCCTCGAGCCCCGTAGCCGTCCTGGCATTGAGCGCTTGGGATGAGCAGCTACAACATGGGACCTCCCTTGCCCCTATCAAAATATAAGAATAGGTTTTATTGCCCAGAAAGGGTAAAACCTACTCGTGTTTTGATACTGGAAAGGGAGGTCCCACGAAATAGTGAGAAGGTATGGAAGTGGCAGAGCCAGGAGATTAGAAGATATGAAGGTGCGCTCATCCGTTATAATTATAACAATCTCAGAGTATACTCCTCTCACCTGTAATGCCGTGCAAGTTACTATTCGTGAGAATTATATTATGAATAATTGACCCCTGTTATCCACGCGGTTTTCCACGGATACATGCTGGTGATTGGATTAATTTGATGCCATTTCTCGTTAACTCCTCTTATCTGCACGAGGTGCCGGATAATTGGATTAATTTATAATTTTACAGAACACCTTTTCCCGATGACCCTCATCCGCAGATAAAACATAAATAGCACAAATCTGCTAGCTGCCTCCTCTTCTTTCTTATCCGTGAAGAAATGCGGACAACAATATGGAGAAATTATCACTTGTGGGGTACCGCTTCTGAGTGCCTTATCCACTAATAAACGTGGTTCGCAGGATTATGAGTAGTGTGCTCTTCGATTAGTCGCTCGTTCGCCGAACCGATAAGTCGGTGGAGCGATCAACGACTTAAACAACCGGCGTCCCCAACTCCGCCGAAGAACGACGACTCAAGTCTCGCTCTCCTTTTTTGCATCGCTCCAACGTGCGCTTCGGGGCTGGAAGGAGTCACATGCTTTGGTGTGCAATGTTGCGAACAGGGAGCCCCACTGTCTTCCCGGTGCTTATTTTGAATCATGAGGAAACGACTTGTGTTTCCAATTGGCAGGGTGAGTCACAAAAAAAAACAACCACACAGTGCATGCTTTAGGGTATTAATAGAAGCCAAAGTCGAAAAGAATTTTGTTTTTAAATACACTTTGCAACTGCTCCTTTTCTTGTGGATTATCCACCCCAAAGTTTATAATTGCATTATACGCACTGCATTCTATACAGTACGCGCAGTGTTCCATACCCGCAGGTTTGGTTCAAAACTTTTCAAGAATATTGTGGGCATATTTAACCGCATTTCTTACACTATAAGACACACCACTCCGACGTCGTGCTTTAAACTAACATCTGGAAGACGTAACAAAACGTGGAATCAAGCTGCTAATATTCTAATGCATCCAACAGTTACAAGACAACAATTTTGAAAGCCGCAGTATTTGGCCTTTAAAAAATATAAACACTCGAATTGCAAGCCTTGGTGATTTTATTCCAATACAGTATCCCGAGCTAAGACACTCTATACTAAAACAGCATTTGTACGCATTAACAACAAACACATTTCTCTTATTGTGCGAAACCACGTTAGGTAGTACTCTGCTACGAAGTGTATAAACATCGCTGCTGTATTGTGATCAAAATCATCAGCAGACATGCTCTATCCACTGTTCGATGCAGACTTTCACGAGCCGTCACCATCTCTCACTGTACGTCAATTGTACATGACCCAGTCAAGCGGAAAGTGCTTCCACGTTTGGCAAAGTGTGCCAGAATAAAAACAAACCCACGTAGGCAACGTTTCGGGCAATGACTCTTGCTGTAACGTTGTGAAAAAAACAAGCTTCACGTCTCATCGGAGTGCTCCTGTAGACACACACACACATTCTGAGTCTCATCGTTACACTCTGAAGAAGAAGCAGCCATTGGTCGAGGCGCGGTGTCTAAAACAACAGCGTGCACAACTGTATGAACTCGTAAAGTCGTCACTTGTGTTACACGTGCGCTGGACTTATTTCGCAACGTACGTGGCCACCAGCCGTGCCAATCGGAACCTCCTACCTGGGACGTCAAGCGTGGGGAGGCCGCGAAGAGGCGAAGCTGCCGCGCTTGAACGGAGGTCGAACCTGGGGTGGTGGTGGTGGGGGTAAACGAGAGTCTGAGACGGGAGCTTGTGGCGTGGCACCGTGGCGAGCGGCGTGTTGGGGAGTGAGCGGGGCTTGGCGTGCGCGCACACCCAGAGAGAGACGCACGCGCGCACAATCCTCAAAGCGGAGCTGGGTGTGGCTCTTCCCACCCACCGCTGACTGTGACGTGTCCGTGAGGTCCTCCTGCCAGCAGCCTCCCCTCCGCTCTCCCGCCCCTGACACGCAACCCACGCAGTCCACACTCCAACGCTCCACTGCTGGCTTGTCCAGCACCCCGCTCCGCCCACCCGCGCCTCCTGCTGCTGGCCACCCACGACTCCCTTCGTGTGCCCTGCCGGCCTTCGGAGAAAGCGCTACTCGCTAACAGCACTTCATAGGTGCTCGCTAACGGCACTTGCCCAAGCAGTCTGTTAAGGCTACACGGGGGATCTTTGGCTTGTGTGTGCGCGTGGGTCCCGTGACGGCGAGCGCGCTGCGCTACTGAACCCGGGCCACCCGAGTTCGATCCCCACTCACGGCCACCAGCACCAGTGACGATTATCTGAACCGGTCCTGGGCCCTCTCCACTTGGTTACGACTCAGCATCAAATGAGCTCGCGGTGCGGTGTGTGGTAAACATCGTCACCGGGGAGACAAAGGCGGCCGGGCGTGGTGGTGGCCACCCACCCCCTCCGCGTGCCGTCGTAGGTGCTACTCGCCAAGAGCACTTGCCCCCACATGTCTGTTAAGCCTATCCGGGGGATCTTTGTCTTTGGGTATCTCGTGATGCCGGGGCGTGTAGCGCTTACGTGGCGAGGCTCGCCTGCCAACACAGCGAGACGCAGACACCACGGGAGGCCACTTGCAAACAGAGAATGTTAAACCACTGCTGCCTGCGAGCCTTCAGCCGCGATGGGGAGACGTTAACTTCCTCGCCTGGGTTGCAAGGAGGCCGCTAGTTCGATGGCGACCCTGACGCCTGCTGTATATGTGGAGCTGGCATGCAGTCCCTGTGGACGCGTGGATTTTTCTCCGGGTCCTCCGTTCCCACCCCCCGCATTTAGAAACACGTGCTTCGAGAATTTGGCTGCTATACATTTGCACGTGATAAGCCACTTCGTTGAGCTATCATTTGTGGCGAGGCCTCTTCTGAAAGAGAGCTATGTAGCTCAGTGGCCTTTACCCGGGAAAAATACAAAAAAGTTTAGTTTTAGGTAATAGTGTTTTTTTTTCCAACGCAGGAGCAGCACAAGACAACAAGAGCAAACTCTCTCCGGAAGCCCTCTCTCGTTGTTCATAGCACATCTGGACAGTGGCAAATAGCTCCTGCACATATTGCTGCCACCGCGAGCAACAATGGAATCGAACCGGCACCGGCGCAGCCGCAGCTGTGGTGCGGTGAAGAGTGCGCGATCCGAAAGCTCCAGAACGTGAGAGCACGGCTCGATTTGAATAAAAAAATATATATGGATCTTCATATAAGCTCCCATTGTTAATCATGCGCTGTACAAAGTTTTTTCCACCACTGCTTTTAACTGAGCCCCTATTAAAAAAAAACATTTACCTAAAAAAACTGAACACATTCGTCAATTAGCGCTTGCTCTATCTAAAGGGAGGCATTGTGGATGCTAGGTGACGCTTTAAACAACGTCCCTTTTTCATCACTACGCCTTTACATTTATATCATGGCCTCATGGTGTGCAATCTCCAGCTATTATTCACTCAATCTCTCTGGCCTCTCTATCTAGTGCAGTCTCCAGCTATTATTCACTCAATCTCTCTGGCCTCTCTATCTAGTGCAGTCTCCAGCTATTATTCACTCAATCTCTCTGGCCTCTCTATCTAGTGCAGTCTCCAGCTATTATTCACTCAATCTCCCTGGCCTCTCTATCTATAGCCAGGTGGTGGTTACTATGCACGTGGCCTGCAATTGAGGCATGGTGGATTGCACGGATTTTTTTTGTTTGTTTAGAAAATCACTTCCTGTAGACTTCATCTGTAACGGGATAGCGTGTTTCCCCTTCGCATACGCGTGGGCTTTATCTGGGTGCTCCGGTTTCCCCACTCGTTAATTAACTGACAACGCCGTAATATATAGAGGACAGCAGAGCTTGGTGCCAGCTCAGCGGGTGGCTGCTACCTTCCCGCTTGCCTGTTCCTTTGCACGTCTGAGTCGTTCTCTCTCTCTCTCTCGGGGAGCGGCGGGTAAATGTGCGGCACATTACAAGTTAAAACGATGTGCTATGACAGAGGGTCATTGCGCAAGACGTTTCCTATTCTAAAACATTTAATTTTGAGGTCAGTGTTATTGACATGCGTTCAATGTTGTATATTTATTTGTTTCATTCGAAAGCATTTGGCTATTTGGAGACCGCATCGCAGCTATCGGTGGTTTTAATGGCATATTAATGTTGAGGCTTCTGTGTTATCGACTGTGTGTCATGGCCCACAGCACGAGGAACCTCAGTGTGGGGTGGCACAGTGATTAGTGCACTGCGCTATAAACCCGGTGACCACGGTTAGATTCCCAACCACGGCTGACATCAGCGGCGAATGAGCTCCCAACCCTTCACCAGCCTGCACGTACCAGCACGGTGGAGTATGGTCAAACGATCCCCACGACCGAGAGGCACGGGGAGAGAGATCTGCATGCAGCAGTGGATTGACGAATCGCTGTAAATGTTTGATATTTGGAAGTAAAATACACGTGCAGTGTCAGCCAATGAGCCGAGCAGCAAGAAGCGTGTTACTGTGCATGAATCGGGCTCCGTAAATGCAGCCAAAGCTGCCACGTTGGCATTTTAAAGAGCCACTGTCTTCCCCATCAATCCCACGTGTCACGAGCACACATCTACAAAATTGTGCCTATTTTTTCATATTTTTGGTTCCGTTATTTTTAACCCTTTCACTGAATTTGTGGCACTTCTATTTTACGTTTGTCCATGACAGCGTTGAGTAATAGCAGAAACAACAGATGGGAAATATTGCTGGGAGCCAATCTGTGTATAGCCATGCTAAAGCACTGTACATTCATCTTTCAAAAACATCAAGAGTTTTACAAATGATAACAAATAGTATTTTCTAGCGCAAGAGCAGTAATCTGAATGTTGTATGTTAAAGATAATGATTATATTTTATCATCGTGTTTAAAGGAAAAACAAACTCAACACATTTATCAGTAACATTGATTTATAAGGAAAGGTATATATTGTAATAGGTGACATTTTGAGCAATGCCCCTTCTTCATAACACGTAAATAATAATACGTAATTTAAGGACCATTGCCCAAAATGTGAGAGATTATATGTATTTTTCCTTTTAATGCCTCCACAGTGTTGTTGAGAAATGTGAGTTGTTTTCTATTTGTGCTTGTGCGTCACTGCCAACGCAGTATCACCAAAGGATCGGTTCCCTAGTGCTTGAACGAATTGTAAATGTTCACGGAAACACTGCATATGTGCGTACAATAAAGTATTTATACAAAAAGTCACTTTGCGCAAATGAGAAAATTAGTTTGGCTGCGCGTCACTGTTTTATTGACCCTAGGCCTTGAATGATGTGCGTTTCACGGTTTCATTAAATGCCGTGATGTGGGTTTGGGATTCAATTCAAACAGCCAATCATTTGTTTTACATGGTGGTGAATGGAGCGCCTTCAGTGGCCGCGTGGATCACGTGATTTACGCAAGACACAAATCGAAGATAATTATCAAAAATCCTATCGCATGTATCGTAGTTTTAATCGATTAATCTGAGACACCACGGTGGTGAGATGTTAACTACCTCGCCTGGTGTGCAAGGAGGTCTTGGCTTCGATCCCGACCCTGACGCCTGCTGTATAATTAGAGTTTGTATGTTCTCTCCGTGGTCACGTGGATTTTTCCCCAGGTCCTCCGGTTTTTCCCTCCACATTTAGAAACATGTGCTTCGAGTATTTGGCTTCTATCAATTCCCAGTTCTGTACTGCACTTAATTAAAAAAAACATGTTGGTCGCTTGTGCATAATTGGCATTCTGGAAAGCCGCAAGCAATTTAAACAAGGGCGTGTTCAAAGTTCCGATAGTTACAAGTGGCTGTGAGTTGCCAGGGGCTAACAGCAGGCCTCAAGACCTCTCAAACCCTCTCTTCACCAGCCCTAGCGTTAGCACGCAGCCTTCGTGGTAGAACCTCCGGATTGGGGGAGTGTTACGAGAGAGCGCATAGTCACCGCGAGCAGGGCACGTGGCAGCCTGACGTGACGCCGATTGGTGAAAACCCGGGCCCTTCAACACCACCGCCGACCACGGGCTCCATTGCATTCTCTTGCTTTTGGAGAGAAAAAAATCGTTTCTGCACAAATATAATTTTTTTGTTTATTTTATTGACGTGTCAATGAAATTTGCCCCAGAGAATGTCTCAGCAACCCCCTCCAAAGACTTTTTCACCTCTTGATTACGTCTGGGTCATGAAGTTAGAAGCGCCAGTGAGCACCTCTGAGTCCAGGTCCCAGGTATATGCCTCTTGAAACCGATGGTTCTAATTTGTATCAAGTTTAATTGTTTAGCTTGTTTACTGCTAAATTACTCTTATGCCTATCACAGCCACGCAAATGGGCACTGGATTTGTCTACACCAAACTATAATGGCATAAAAGGTATATAATAGATGACGTTTCGGGCAATGGCCCTTCTTCATGGCACACATAGTTTGTGTTTGTTGTGGTCGTGCACCACTGCCGACGTAATGTGTAGAAATCATTGGTTATCCAGTAACTTGTATTTATAGGAATTGTTTCACAAATGGAAAAACATCGAGTACCTACAAGCCACAGTTTATGTTATATAAGGATAAAAAAGTTAGTGTAATTTATATTAGCAACCAAAATATTATTGTACTGTGCGCTCCAAATCTGGAAATGCTGCACTTTTGGAGCCAAAATAGCGGTAAATAACTATTGATAGAAGAACATTTGTTTGTATTCAGAAAAATAAAATATAAATATAAGATAATCATTCGTAAACCAGCAAGCCAGTCATCTCTAACACAAAGCTCCGCCAGATTATCATGGGACCTTTTTGGCAATATCTCTCAAGAAGGCTGTCTCTGGTGTAGACCAATCCGTTTCAAAGACAATACACGTACCACCACAGCTGTCAACCCAAACGGTTTACCCGTATTCTTGTACAGGGAAATTGAGTCCTCAGTTCCATACGGCGTACATACGTTTCAATACGGGCAACATTTTTTTGGTATCTATTTGTTTATAAGAGTAGGCCTTTATAAGGTGTTGGCAGGTATGATATGATCAGAGCATGTTTGTTTGAATGTTCACCACAAGTACCGTGTGGTCAATGCAGTAACTTGATTCCTTGAAAAATGTTTCTATTTGTTGTTTGAACATCTTAACACCCCCTGTTTTATTGCCAGAAAGGGTAAAACCTCTTCTTACTTTTCACACTCCGCTACATTGAATGCCAAGTAGCCAGGTGGCATTGTGCACACTACGGGTGCAGACATTGGTCAATGCGCCATTGCTAGTCACGGGGGTTGTTTGACCATACTTCCCCACGCTGGTGAGTGCGAGTTGGCAAGGGCCGGGGTGAGGGGGGGCACAGACATGGGTAAATAGAAGTACAATACAACAATGGATATTGCTGTAACATCATTTATTGGCCACGGCATAGCCCCCCCCCCCCCCCCCCGCAGACTATAACACCTATGATGCGTGGCAGGCAGCCACCAAAACATTATCCAGTTTAAAAATCCTGCTTAGCACCTGGACGATTTGATCATAGGCTCTTACACGGTAAGCCGGCTTGAATGTATGCAGTATGAGTGAAGTCATCTCCGATAGCCAAAGGGGATATTCAACACAGAGAGTCCTGTTTAATTGGCTCTCACCTGATCGTACAGATCACAGCTGTACAGCGGCATATCAGATGACTTTAGTAAAGGCTCATGTGTTTTGCAGCACACTGGCTTTGTATCGGCTGGTTCCTGCAACAGGGACGTGGAATTTCCATTGGGAGACGAGGGAGCATTACCACCAGCAACAGCAAACAGCAACAAGGTCAACGCATTTTTGTGGTTTTAAAATCGAATGCGGCGTCAACAATGCCAACCACATCGTACGTTGAGCACATAACGTGACAAATGTCTCGGGGCGCAGAAATAAAACGGAGTGAATGCAAATGTATCTCAATACGCATTGCAAGGGTTACACAAAAAAAAACAGGAAAACTTGGGAGAGAGAGGAGAGAGAGAAGAACAGCCCTCGACAAAACAACTGGGCCTCAGGCTTTCGGCTGCCACTGTTTTGACAGTCCGGGAATTGTTATCTACGTGTCCAGGCGGCAGGAATTGATGTTGTACCGAGATCTGGTACTAGGTATCGTGTCGATCTTTGTTGCAGTATCGCTGCACGGGTTTTGAAGATGCACCGAGGCTGATTTGAGAAACGTCTGGATTTGTTCTGTGAAAAAAAAACAAGTGGCGGTCCAAGGTCCAAGGAAAACAATGGCAAGACCAACAACAACAACAATGAGCCAAAGGGACAGCTCGGGCAGCCAGCACAGCACGTGTTGATTTCCAAGACATGTTGAAATATAAATAAAGCTTTGACTTGAAAAAAATAAATGTTTTTATATTTGCAAAAAAGCAAACGCAGGACAACATAACCATAATACAAAGCACTTTGCCTTTTAAATCACATCTGCAGATCTGTTTCTGCCAATGGCTCTGATGGTTTAGGTCCTAATTTTCAAAATCTCTACTCCAGCGAAAAAGTTTGATCATCTGGTAAGGATTAAAAGACCAGATCGTCTTGCTTTGTGTTGTTTGGAGACTTTAACTTTCCAAAATGTGACGTGGAAATATGTACAGGATGTATGTAAGTTGTATCTTTAATGACACACGACATATACACTTTGGCACATCAACTCATTTCACGCAGATGTCAGTTGTTGCCTTGATGATCTCTGAAATTCCATCGAACAGAGTAGAATCAAATCACTCTCTGCACAACGTTAACATCCTTCCTTCTAACTTTATTTAAAACAAAGAGTAATCCTACCTTCTGATAAGCAATTGTCGTTTGCCACAGCATACATTTCCGTCCAGCATTCTGTTGTACATAAACTAAACAATTTTTTATTTTTATTTTACCAGGTAAGGCCCACTGAGCTATGTAGCTCTTATTCAGAAGCGACCTGGCCACAAATGATAGCTCAACGAAGTGGCCCATCATGTGGACATTTACAGCAGGCAAATAGTCAAAATGCACGTTGATTTTAAATGTGGAGGTAAAAAACGGAGGACGTGGAGAAAAAGCCACGCGGTCGAACCCACGACCTCCTGTATACTAGGCGAGGTAGTTAACATCTCGCCACCGTGGCGCCTCCATAACACATTGCGCAGACCACAACGCTTCATTACTGAAGTTGACCTAAGGCATGTTCTATCCACTGCTGGATGAAGGCTTCCCCCAACGCCATCACCATCGCTCACGGTTTACGTAAAGCCTCTACGCATGAACTGATCTCATCACTCCATCTCCATGGTGTTCGTCCTCTCGGGCACCTTCCCCTCCTTCCAATGCCGTCATTGGTCTCATCCTGTGCACGAAGCCCACGTAAACAATGTGATGTATCTAATGTGTGTACGTTCTGTTATCCATATGCTCCTCGTTCTGTGCATCACTGAAATTCCATCCTTTGTGTACATTTCAGATTGTGTTCCGTTTTCCATTTGTATTAGGGGCTGTCAATGCAAGCACCGCATTGATACATAAACACCCTGCCCTTTGGCTGACTGAGGCCCTGATAGATAATGCCGTGTGTTTATTGTGGTAAATTCCTGTTGGGAATACAGTGACGGATCTCCCCGCCATCCCAAGTCCCCGACCCATCCCCCTTCTCAGATCGCGCCGTCAACATCCCAGAATCTTCACAATCTTTTTTTTTGGAGGGATCCGATGAGCTGTCAGGCTCTTTTTCACAGATGTCCAGCAAAAAAAAACGGAACGCTTCACGAACCTGCGTGCCATTCCTTGCGCAGGGGGTCATGCTTAATCTTCTCTCTATCGTTCCAATTTTGCCGGAGCAAGTACGGAAGAACGCTGGCGAACAGAGGGGAAAACGCGGACTCCCAGAACAAACATTTCATTCGAGACCAAAACATCACAACTTCTGGATTTGACATCCCTCCTCTAAAACGCTACTCTAACCATTAACCGCATCAAAGCGTCAACTGGCCAATCCGTACATCTACATAAACTGAACATTAAAGGCACAAGCCACAGTCGCACGATTTTGGCCAAACTATGGACTTTATAGAAAATCAAAACTACACGAACTCTCTCTTGAAGCCCTCCGTGGCTAGCGGCCCTCGGCATTGCTAATAGGCGCAATACACATTGCACAACAGGAGAGGGCAGTGTTGTAAACGGATGTATGCTGATTTGTTTTGCACTTTTCAAGATCATATGAACAATGTATCGTGTTTTCTGAAACCAGATTCAATAAAAACACATATAATTTTTTTAATCCCAGGATGCAGCTCCAATGTCCTCTGCGCCGTTTCAATTGTCAACGATGTAAGACCCACAAAAACATTTATAGAGCGCCTTCACTCAAGGAGTGTGATATACAGGGACTTCTCTACTGACGAGAGTTAGGTTCCAGAGGTCTGTTCGTAAATCGATTTGTTCGTAGTCCAACTTTCTTCCTGTCGATTCTAAACACGTTGTACGGCGTGTACACTAAACACTGGGAATGGCTTTAAGAGTTGTATAATCTCCTGTGGATGTAGACCACTGGTTCTTCACGTTCTGCAGATGTAGATGCCACTGGGTCTTCACGTTCTGCAGATGTAGATGCCACTAATTCTTCAAGTTCTGTAGATGTAGACGCCACTGATTTCTCACGATCTGCAGATGTAGATGCCACTGGTTCTTCACGTTCTGCAGATGTAGATGCCACTGGTTCTTCACGTTCTGTAGATGTAGATGCCACTGGTTCTTCACGTCTACAGATGTAGATGCCACTGGTTATTCACGTTCTGCAGATGTAGATGCCACTGGTTCTTCATGTTCTGCAGATATAGATGCCACTGGTTATTCTCGTTCTTCAGATGCAGATGCCACCTGGTTCTTCACGTCTACATATGTAGATGCCACGGGTTCTTCACGTCTACAGATGTAGATGCCACTGGTTATTCCCGTCTACAGATGTAGATTCCACTGGTTCTTCATGTTCTGTAGATGCCACTGGTTCTTCACGTTCTGCAGATGTAGATACCACTGGTTCTTCACGTGCTGCAGATGTAGATGCCACTGGTTCTTCACATTCTGTAGATGTAGATGCCACTGGTTCTTCACGTTCTGCAGTTGTAGATGCCAATGGTTCTTTACGTGCTGCAGATGTAGATACCACTGGTTCTTCACGTGCTGCAGATGTAGATGCCACTGGTTCTTCACATTCTGTAGATGTAGATGCCACTGGTTCTTCACGTTCTGCAGTTGTAGATGCCAATGGTTCTTTACGTGCTGCAGATGTAGATGCCACTGGTTCTTCACGTTCTGTAGATGCCACTGGTTCTTCATGTTCTGTAGACGTCACTGGTTCTTCATGTTTTGCAGATGTAGATGCCACTGGTTCTTCACGTTCTGTAGATGCCACTGGTTCTTCATGTTCTGTAGATGTCACTGGTTCTTCATGTTCTGTAGATGCCACTAGTTTTTCATGTTCTGTTGATGTAGATGCAACTGGTTCTTCACGTCTACAGATGTAGATGCCACTGGTTCTTCACGTCTACAGATGTAGATGCCACCGCCGCCATCGATTGCGCGGCGGTTGAACTTACGACTCTCGGTCCGAACAGGCAACTTGGACATACGGACAGGTTTGTTCGTATCTCTGAAAGTTCGCAAGTCGAATGTTCGTAAGTAGAGGCGTCCTTGTAGTTTGAAAAACGGTGACAATAGAATGACAATGCAATAATTGAGGAATGCGTGATGGCCATAGCGGGGTACTTAGAGATCACGAAAGGTTAGGGGGGGGGGGGGACGGGAAGAAGTGGAGGGGCGAGGGAAGTGAAGAGAAAGAGAACGGGCAATAGAAAAGAGGTGGTGAGGCTTTAAGAGAGGAACGAAAGGAGGTTAAGGAGGGGGACTGTTTCATGTACAGGGGCAGTGTTGAGTCTCTGGTCAGTGCTGAGTCTATGGTGCAGTGTTGAGTCTATGGGCAGTGTTGAGTCTATGGGCAGTGTTGAGTCTATGGGTAGTGTTGAGTCTATGGGTAGTGTTGAGTCTATGGGTAGTGTTGAGTCTATGGTGCAGTGCTAAGTCTATGGGCAGTGCTGAGTCTATGTTACAGTTCTGAGTCTATGGGCAGTGTTGATTTTATGGGCAGTGGTGAGTTTATGGGCAGTGCTGAGTCTATGGGCATTGTTGAGTTTATGGGCAGTAAATTTTGATTTAAAGCTTTCGTGACTGCAGTAATTCATATTCTTAGCTCTTTCGGTAAAGTCACGTTGAAGGGAAACAATAAAATATATATAAAACAATAAAAATTCTCACCACGTTTCTACCATAACACAAACGGTCGTCATCAGGTGTGAAAAGCAACGGCAAGGGACATTTGAAAGATGTTTCTTGCCGTTGCTTTTCACACCTGATGATGACCGTTTGTGTTATGGTCGAAACGTCGTGAGAATTTTTATTGTTTTATATATTTTATTATTTTATTGTTTCCTTTCAACGTGACTTTACCGAAAGAGCTAAGAATATTTATTGGCAGTGTTGAGTCTATGGGCAGTGTTCAGTCGATGGGCAGTGCTGAGTCTATGGTGCAGTGCTGAGTCTATGGGCAGTGTTGAGACTATGGGCAGTGTTGAGTCTATGGGCAGTGTTGAGTCGATGGGCAGTGCTGAGTCGTTGGGCAGTTCTGAGTCTATGGTGCAGTGTTGAGTCTATGGTGCAGTGCTGAGTCTATGGTGCAGTTCTGAGTCTATGAGCAGTGCTGAGTCTATGTGTAGCAGTACTGCTCAATGTGTAGGGGAAGTTTATTCCAGTGGAGGGGTACAAGGAGGAAGAACGACTGAAAACGGGATTGGCCACAGGGGGAAAGAGGAACAGATAGAGAGACATAGAAGATTGAGAATGAAGAGGATGAAGGGGACATCGAAGGAGATGAGAGTGGGGCAAGGCCATGGGAAGATATGAAGGCCAACGTCAAGTATTTGAAAAGACAGCGCTAAGTCTCAATGTTTCATTTAAGCCTGCATAGTTTTCCACATCGGTTTATTGTATGGTATTAGGGTATTTGTAGTTCTTTGGAAAACTCCTTTTTTTGTTTTCCACATAATGCACTAGCTTGACATGCGGTGGCTTGGCTGCTGCACTCACAAGGAGTAACTAACCCCATATCTGCATTTGTCATCAACATGCTAATTCCTCTGTTGATATGTAAACTCCTTTGTGAAGGCGCTCTGCTCTTCCCACCCAGCTTAAAATACGCTGCCAAGCTTAGCAGTGTTCATTAGGACGCTGTCTTTCCGACAGCTCTGTTCTTCACCTGAGGACGGCTGCTTGCGTTGTGGCCGAAACGTCGTGAGAATGTTATTATGTTTTATTTGCATTATTGTATTATTTCCCTTCTACGTGACTTTACCGAAAGAACCAAGAATATGAGCCTGCATGAGTCATCTTAAACACATCTACATACGTGAGTTGTCAAGTTTACCATGCCACCACACGTGGTGTCATGGCAAACAAACATGCTCTGATAACATAAGCATTGTGCTTTGCAACTGATTGGCCAACACGTGTTTCAAATACAGTGCATATATGAATTATCAGAGCATCTTCACCACAAGTAGATGTGGGGCCGTCCATAAATGACGTCACGCACCTAGGGGGCGGGGGGGGGATCAGACATTTGTGACGATGTGTGACGGGGGGGGGGGTGAGAAATGTGACGTCACATCAAAATGCGCAACTTCAAATAAATAAAAGCGATTTGAAGCATGTTTTATTTTAAAAATGGAAATATGGTTTTGTGGGGGGGAGGGGGGGGCAGAGCTTTGTGACGTCATATTTGAGGGGGGGTCTGACTTTTTGTGACGCCACGTGACGAAAGGGGGGTCAAAAATCGCGTGACGTCATTTATGGACGGCCCCTGTGCCTGGTGCATAGTTTCATAGTTTCATTTATGTTGGTATAGCCCTGTGAGCCATTCGGCTCTTGAATCGGGTGCAACCGCAACCAACAAAAAACAAAAACATGAACAAGAAAACATCTTAAAGTGACTATGTGCATGTGCAAACAGAAAATTCAGGAAAAAAAAACACATCAAAATATTCCTGAAATAGACTTGCTTCCTCGAACAAGGTCATCTATCTGGTGTTTAAACATCTGAACGCCTGTTTTATTGCCAGAAAGGGTTATACCTAGCCCCTATTTTTAAAAACCTCGATGCTGACAACAACAAAAAACGAGTCCCACGGTTACAACTTGCTATACCGAGGGCGCTCACCAGATGGCAGGACCGCATTGCGTCTGAGTTCAAGCTTGTGACCTCACCATCACCGTCATTTGTTGTTGCGAAAGACTCAACGTCGAAATGGTAAATTAAAACCTCTTCAGTCGTGGTGGTGTGCCACTGTGGTCATTCAGGCCATGCCACGGTACACCGACGCAATGCCCCGATCCACGTCACGACGTCACACTCCGTCAGAGCCTGAATCGGTGATCTGCCTTGACCACCGGAATGTGGAATTGTCGTTTGTTGCTCTGCGATCTATGTCCTCACCGTGAGAAAAGAGCACGGGTACCTGCATGCCGCGTGCTTGCACATGCGGCCATGGTCATGTTTTACATTTTCCAATGAACAGATATAGTATCGATCAAAATCTTCATATTTATTCGCGCTGGAGGAATCCGATGTGCGATAAAGTTATTTTTTTCACAGATGTCCAGTAGTGGTGGGTAAGAACGTTACAGCAAACAATCAGTACAGAAACATTATAGTCTTGCAAGGTACAAGAAATGTACACAAATCACCGAAACAAATCCAATTAAAACGAAACTATCCCCATCCTACCAGGCACAGCCTACTG